TTAATGAGGTCCTTGGCGGACGACGAGATGAGCGGCCAGGGGTCGGAGGAAAAGTCAATGTGCCCCTTGAGTACCGCGTCGAATATGCCCTGCTCCGACTCTGGTCATAAGGGAAGGTTGTCGAGGAGAGGAGGTGGGAGCGCATGTGAGGCGACGGATAAGAGGGGGGTCAAGGGTCGGACGAGAAGTCGATGTGCCCCTCGAATATGCCCTGCTCCGACTCTGGTAGGAAGAGGCGGAGGGGAGGGAGGGGGGGGGGGGGGGGTGGGCGAGAGAGCGCATGTGAGGTGACAGAGGTCGGAGGAAAAGTCGATGTGCCCCTTGAGCACTGCGTCGAATATGCCCTGCTCCGACTCTGGTGGGTGATGGGGGAGGAGGTGAGGGAGGGAGGAAAGGGGGAGGATGAGAAGTCGATATGCAGGGGTTCGGCGGAGGCGGGGGAGATGGGGTGAACGGGATGCGGAAGGGAACAACGCATTGAAAGAGCAAGTCGCGGTGAAGGAAAATAGGGTTTGGGTCAAGTAGTCTAGAGATTACGACACCTTCGAAACGTTCCCAAAGCGATGTTTCAGAGACGAGCGGCAGGTTCACCTGCCCATATGCGGCGGCAAGGCTCACAGCAGGATGTAGAAGATGACGCCGCAGAAGCTAAACACGGCACGACCGCCTTCCGATTAGCTGATGAGCCTATTGAAGCCTACTCAAACGTCGGACCTGCCTATCCACTCATGTAGCCCATAAAGGGCGGCAGACTCACCTGATTAGACGGCCGGCAGACTGACCTGCCCAGAAGGGCGGCACGCCGCAGAGCAGGATGTAGAGGATGACGCCGCAACTCCACACGTCCGCCTCTGGCCCGTACTTTCGCCGAAGCACCTCGGGAGCCACGTAGTACGCGCTTCCCACGATGTCAGAAAAGGTTTCGCCTGCCCGAGCGGATAAGGGATAAGTTTCGAATGGTGGAAGAACAAGGGATGTGAAAAAAAAAAACAAAAAAGGCCAGAGGCAGGCATTGACGCACTCTTTTTCTTCTTCTTTTCTTTTCCCCTGTGGAAAGAGGGGTTGGGAAGTGATAAAAAGTCCTACAAATTTCGCCGTCGTCCTATTCATGGTACGATTTCAACACCCAATGCGCCAAAAAAAAAAAAAAAAACAAGGGTAGACGCCCCAGAGTTTTCATCACTGATGTTAACAGAGGCCAGCTCACCTGGCTTGTAGAAGATGGAGAGGCCGAAATCAGTGGCCTTGAGCGGCGCGTCCTCCTTCTTGCTGGCGAGGAGGAAGTTCTCGGGCTTGAGGTCGCGATGCATGACGCCATTGGCGTGGCAGTACTCCACCACCGACACCACCGTGCGGATCAGGTTTGCCGCGGCGCGCTCGCTGTAATGTCCGCGCGCGATGATCCGGTCGAAGAGCTCTCCGCCCGCGCAGAGCTCCATGACGATGTGGACCGAGTGCTTGTCCTCATAAGCACCCTTCATTTTAACCACGTTCGGGTGGTCGACGAGGTGATGCATAATCGCGACCTCGCGCTTGACGTCTTCGACGTCTTCTGCGGTAACCAGCTTGCGCTTCGCGATGGACTTGCACGCGTACTGCTCGCCCGTGCTCTTGTCCGTGCAGAGATATGTTACTCCGAACTGGCCGCGCCCCAGCTCGCGCCCGATCGTGAAGTGATTCTTCACGTCCTCTGCTGGCCGGCCGAGCACGTTCGCCGTCAAGTTGCCGGCTTTTTTGGATCCTCCGGACGCGGATTTGCCGGCTGTTGGAGGTGCGGAGTCGGCTGCGTTTGCAGTCGCCGCGCCAGCAGCGGTTGCTCCAGCGGAGGCGGACGGCGGAGCCGCGGCTTCGGATTTAGGCGGAGCGGAGGGGCCATCGTCTGTCTTGGGCTTCGAAGCGCAACAGCCCATTTTTCTAAAAAAAATAGGAAAGAGTATTTGCGTGTCAAGCAGCGGATGATGTAGTAGGCGACCGTTAGGAGCTTGCTAGAAACTACAGGCGACTGTTGCAAGTCTTGCTGGAGATTAGGATGACTTTATGAAAATTATTCTTTTCTGTCACCTAGGGCTCCTGGTTTCTGACCTACTCAGCTTAGTGAGCTCGCAAAACTTGACCAGAAACCTTAATAGTGAGACACCGAGCGGAAATAGTACGAACGGACAGTCCTACAACAGGAGGCCTATTGCAGAGGAACGGAAAAGCACACACCACGGCGCCTTGTGCTTGTTGAAACTATTTGGTGAAAATCACCTCCTAGGGAATTGCTTTGCCAGGCTGGAGGAGGGAAAGGCAGGCAGGACCCTGTGAGAACAAACTCCCCCACGGCGCAGTGCGCAAGCAAGCTATTCTCTCGCCCAACTAGATTCCTTCAAGAGAGCCTAAGCATTTTAGGGCAGTGGGAATAACATTCAGGTCCCCTCTAACTGTGGAATCTCTCGGGAGATGTTTGTTCTTGTTCTACGAGATAGTTACGGATAAGAAGTTCTTGGCAAAGTACCAGTGGTAAAACGTTAGTACTCAAAGGCTCAACCTTTTTCGTGGACGCTCCCCTTGCGAATTGTGTGCGCGGAGGGGCCATAATTCAAACGCATGCGAACAGCTGCAAGCGCAGATGGTTGGGTCTGCCGCACGCATATGCTCGGAGGGTGCCCCTTGGGAATGCCCCGCAGCTTGGGAGAAGGCAAGACCAATGGCGGTGCGCTTCTCTCTCTGAAAGAACGCGACGTGTTGGCGAAAATATCAACGGTAAGCCGACGCGCTCTGGTGGATTATTAAGTGTGAGTGTATTTAACAGAGTGCAAAACAGAAGAAAATATATGAGAAATTAAATAAGGAAAAGCCCATAAGCCCAATCAGGAAAAAACAAATCTGTAGTCTACTTCTAGTTTTGTACCTTAGCAGGCTAGGCCCCGACGCCACCAGGCAGCGCGATCTAGCCTCAGCAGCGCCAGGACGCCTTAGGCAGCGCGAAATTGCCCCTTAGCAGCGCCCCGACGCCACCAGGCAGCGCGACCTAGCCTCAGCAGCGCCAGGACGCCTTAGGCAGCGCGAAATCGCCCCTTAGCAGCTCCCCGACGCCACCAGGCAGCGCGATCTAGCCTCAGCAGCGCCAGGACGCCTTAGGCAGCGCGAAATCGCCCCTTAGCAGCGCCCCGACGCCACCAGGCAGCGCGATCTAGCCTCAGCAGCGCCAGGACGCCTTAGGCAGCGCGAAATCGCCCCTTAGCAGCGCCCCGACGCCACCAGGCAGTGCGATCTAGCCTCAGCAGCGCCAGGACGCCTTGGGCAGCGCGGTACCCGCCCTTAGAAGCACGATCCGCCCTCTGTAGCGCGAAATCCGCCCTTAGCAGTGTGAAATCCTCGTTTAGCATCGCGAAATCTGCCCTTAACAGCGAGAAATCCGTCCTTGGCAGCGTTAAATCTGTCCTTAGCAGCGTTAAATCTGCCCTTAGCAGCGTTAAATCCGCCCTTAGCAGCGTTAAATCCGACCGAACAGCGCGTAGCAGCGTGAAACCCGCCAGTGCCCAGCAGCGTGCAAGCGCTGGTCGCCATGAACAACAACCCCGAACCCCCTGACCGAGGCCGCCCGGCGCCGCCCTGGGGAGACCCGAGGCGAACAGGGGAACTCCAGGGCGACGTGGAGGAGAGGACAGCAACCAGGGGATGGAAGCGCCCGTCGGAGTCTGGCCCCAAGAGGCTCAGAGAGACGGCACTAGACACACAACACCCACATCTCCGTTGTCAAAAGTATGAAACAGGAATGGAGAAAGAGGGAGTTCACTAGCAAGCAGTTGGATACAAATAGCAAACCCTAACTGGGTTGTACTCGCTATGGAGCACCCCACTGCAGGCTAGACAAGATAACATTCTGACACACCCCCATAGCCAAAGTGGGGTGTAATCAGCACAGTAAGCAAAGCAGAACAAGCTCAGGGTGGATCACAAGGTCACCACACATTCTGAGCACAATTACAAGAAGCAACAGTTTAAAGTTCACAATTATGAGCAAAGCTAGTGGTAGTCACAGCTGGCATGTGAGGAGGAGGCAGGTCGCCACGACAGGCGACGGGAAAAGGGGGGGTGGGGTGCACGTGCCGGAGGTAGGGCGACGGGGTCGGGCCTGTAGGGCGGCGGGACGACGGGGCCGCAGGTAGGGTCGCCCGAGCCACGCGCAGCTGGCCCGAGCCGCGCGCGGGCCTGGCGACGCCCGTACGGGTCGCGCGCGGGCCTGGCGCAGCCCGTACGGGTGGTGCGCGGGCCTGGCGCAGCCCGTACAGGCCGCAGACGGGTCGGGCGCGGCCCGTACGTGCCGCGCGCAGGCCACGACGGGCGACGGGGGGCGACGAACGGGTCCCCGTCGCCCGTGGTGGCGCCGCCCAAGGGCGACGCGCCGGTCGACGGGGCAGAAGCCCGCCGCGCGCCTCGGGGCGCACAGCGGGCAGAGAACCGCTGCGCGCCTCGGGGCGCACGGCGGGCAGAAAACCGCCGCGCGCCTCGGGGCGCACGGCGGGAAGAAAAATGCCGCACGCCCCGGGGCGTGCGGCTCAGAGGGTAGTTGCAGTAGTAGCAGCGGAAGCGAGAAGGTGGTAAGCCCACCCACAGGATCGATCCAAGGGGGATCGACCTGCTCTGATAGCATGTCAAAAGTATGAAACAGGAATGGAGAAAGAGGGAGTTCACTAGCAAACAGTTGGATACAAATAGCAAACCCTAACTGGGTTGTACTCGCTATGGAGCACCCCACTGCAGGCTAGACAAGATAACATTCTGACATCCGTATCCTACACCACAGTCAAGAGCAGTGCCTCTTAGGCACGCCCAGCAAACGCCAACGGTGCGGATCACTTTCGACGGAGGTGAGGACGGAGGCACACTCTGAAGACACTCCGGGCAGCCCCGCAGCCGGCAGCAATAATTGCCCCAATCAAGGCGGGGTGGTCACAGAAGAGGGCGAACAGGTACACGGGGAGCTTAGGCAGAGCATTGCCCCTGATGCGGCGATGGCAGCATGGGAAGCACACCGCCAGCGTTTGCAGGAGACACACGACAGGCGTCGCCATGCCCTCGGCACTTCGTTGGTGGGCTCCGCCCTCACCGAACGCGGCATCCCGACACTGCGCGGCCCACGTTTGGCCCAACGACAGGAACGGAGGCGCACGCCCGGAGCCCTGCAGGAAAGACCCTGCGCGAGGCGGGCCAGAGGGGGGCTGGAGCTGCGGCCCAGAGGACAGCACGAGTGGCCGGGGGTGCAGCAGGAGCTGCAGGCGGGGGGGCAGAAGGAGCTGCAGGCGGGGGGGCAGCAGGAGCTGCAGGCGGGGGGGCAGCAGGAGCTACAGGCGGGGGGGCAGCAGGAGCTGCAGGCGGGGGGACAGCAGGAGTTGCAGGTGGGGGGGCAGCAGGAGCCGGCCGGAGGGCGGCAGGCGCATGAGGCGATGGAGGTGGATTAAGGGGCCGGGGAGCAGCAGGAGTTGCGTGCTGGGGGGCAGCAGAAGCTGCAGGCGGGGGGACGGCAGGAGCTGCAGTCGGGGGGACAGCAGGAGCTGCAAGAGGAGGGTCAGCAGGAGCTGCAAGCGGGGGGGCAGCAGGAGCTGCAGGCGGGGGGGCAGCAAGAGCTGCATGAGCTGGAGGTGGAGATGGAGGAGCCACAAGAGGAGGCGCGAGGGGAGCTGCCGGTAGGCGTGCAGGAGGGGAGTCAAATTGGGAATCAACCCCAGTCGCAGGAAGGGCGGCGGCAAGGGTGTCATGAGGCGAACCAGCCCTTGACTGGAAGCGTACAACAGGGGTTGCCGATGGGGGAGTCGCAGGAGTTGCAGGTGCAGGATCAGCAGGGGGTCACTAGCCCGGGCGGCACGGGCCAAGCGGAAAGGCCGCGGGCGCGGCGCCGAAGGGGGCGACGACAGGGAGGGCAGAGGGCCGGGGGCCAGCCAGGGGTGACCGGAGCATCCGAGGGAGTGATACAGCCAGGGGGGCAGCCGGGGGTGACCGGAGCACCCCTGGGAGCGCTACAGCCAGGGGGGCAGCCAGGGGTGACAGGAGCACCCCACGGAGCGCTACAGCCAGGGGGGCAGCTGGGGGCGATTGGAGCACCCCAGAGAGAGCAGCAGCCAGGGGGGCAGCCGGGGGTGACCGGAGCACCCCTGGGAGTGCAACAGCCAGGGGGGCAGCCGGGGGTGACCGGAGCACCCCTGGGAGTGCTACAGCCAGGGGGGCAGCCGGGGATGACAGGAGCACACCAGGGAGCGCTACAGCCAAGGGAGCAGCTGGGGGCGATTGGAGCACCCCAGAGAGAGCAGCAGCCAGGGGGGCAGCCGGGGGTGACTGGAGCACCCCTGGGAGTGCAACAGCCAGGGGGGCAGCCGGGGGTGACCGGAGCACCCCTGGGAGTGCTACAGCCAGGGGGGCAGCCGGGGGCGACCGGAGCACCCCAGGGAGCGCTACAGCTAGGGGAGCAGCTGGGGGTGACAGGAGCACCCCTGGGAATGCTACAGCCAGGGGGGCAGCCGGGGGTGACCGGAGCACCCCGGGGAGTGCTACAGCCAGGGAGGCAGCCGGGGGTGACAGGAGCACATCAGGGAGCGCTACAGCCAGGGGAGCAGCTGGGGGCGATTGGAGCACCCCAGAGAGAGCAGCAGCCAGGGGGGCAGCCGGGGGTGACCGGAGCACCCCTGGGAGTGCTACAGCCAGGGGGGCGGCCGGGGGTAACCGGAGCACCCCGGGGAGTGCTACGGCCAGGGGGGCAGCCGGGGGTGACTGGAGCACCCCTGGGAGTGCTACAGCCAGGGGGGCAGCCGGGGGTGACCGGAGCACCCCTGGGAGTGCTACAGCCAGGGGGGCAGCCGGGGGTGATCGGAGCACCCCTGGGAGTGCTACAGCCATGGGGGCAGCCGGGGGTGACCGGAGCACACCAGGGAGCGCTACAGCCAAGGGAGCAGCTGGGGGCGATCGGAGCACCCCAGAGAGAGCAGCAGCCAGGGGGGCAGCCGGGGGTGACTGGAGCACCCCTGGGAGTGCAACAGCCAGGGGGGCAGCCGGGGGTGACCGGAGCACCCCAGGGAGCGCTACAGCTAGGGGAGCAGCTGGGGGTGACAGGAGCACCCCTGGGAATGCTACAGCCAGGGGGGCAGCCGGGGGTGATCGGAGCACCCCAGAGAACACAGCAGCCTGGGGGGCAGCCGGGAGTGACCGGAGCACCCCAGAGAACACACCAGCCTGGGGGGCGGCCGGGAGTGACCGGAGCACCCGAGGGAGAGCAGCAGCCAGGGGGGCAGCCGGGGGTGACCAAAGCACCCCACGGAGTGCTACAGCCTGGGGGGCAGCCGGGGGTGACCGGAGCACCCCAGGGAGCGCTACAGCTAGGGGAGCAGCTGGGGGTGACAGGAGCACCCCTGGGAATGCTACAGCCAGGGGGGCAGCCGGGGGTGATCGGAGCACCCCAGAGACCACAGCAGCCTGGGGGGCAGCCGGGAGTGACCGGAGCACCCCAGAGAACACACCAGCCTGGGGGGCGGCCGGGAGTGACCGGAGCACCCGAGGGAGAGCAGCAGCCAGGGGGGCAGCCGGGGGTGACCAAAGCACCCCACGGAGTGCTACAGCCAGGGGGGCAGCCGGGGGTGACCGGAGCACCCCAGGGAGTGCTACAGCCAGGGGGGCAGCCGGGGGTGACCGGAGCACCCCTGGGAGTGCTACAGCCAGGGGAGCAGCTGGGGGTGACCGGAGCACCCCTGGGAGTGCTACAGGCAGGGGGGCAGCCGGGGGTGACCGGAGCACCCCAAGGAGTGCTACAGCCAGGGGGGCAGCCGGGGGTGACCGGAGCACCCCTGGGAGTGCTACAGCCAGGGGGGCAGTCGGGGGTGACAGGAGCACCCCAGGGAGCGCTACAGCCAGGGGAGCAGCTGGGGGCGATTGGAGCACCCCAGAGAGAGCAGCAGCCAGGGGGGCAGCCGGGGGTGACCGGAGCACCCCTGGGAGTGCTACAGACACGGGGGCAGCCGGGGGTGACTGGAGCACCCCAGGGAGTGCTACAGCCAGGGGGGCAGCCGGGGGCGACCGGAGCACCCCTGGGAGTGTTACAGCCAGGGGGGCAGCCGGGGGTGACCGGAGCGCCCCAGATAGAGCAGCAGCCAAGGGGGCAGTCATTGGACGACCGGGAGCAGCAGTTGGAGGAGTGGTGCCGACTTTTGGAGTTTGATACCCCCATGGCGACTGCGGAGGAGTCAAAGGCGGACGAAGAACCTCCCATGCAGCCTTCCCCATGCCCTCGTTTTCCGTGTGACACGTGTTTTCACACGTTCGCTACGCGAGGGGCTGCTGCGAACCACATGAGGGTATGCCGGGCGGCTGAGGCGGAGAGGCGCGCGCAGGCACTTGGCTCGACCCCGTCACTGGTGGAGACCGACACGCAGGAGCGACCGACGCCGCGGGAATTTGGGGACGAGGCGTGGGCCGGGGTTACGTCTTGGGAACGGGAAGCATTTTTCAGTGTGGAGGCGGTTGGAGGGAGGACAGTGCGCCGGATCCCACAGCGGGCTCGGTCGGGGGTCTTAGACGCGCTCTGTTGCGTCTTAAAGCGTTTGAAGAGCCGGCCGGGGGATGAAGCCGCTACCCTCCTACTCTTGGCTTTTCCGCGCCTCATCCTAGCCGTGCCTCCCAAGCCAGGCATAGGACAGAAGGCGGTGATCATAGAGCGGTTGGGGGCGTTTTGGGAGGGGAGGTGGCGGGAGCTGTTCGACTCCGCCATGGTGGCGGCGCGGCCAGCAGTACGCCCACTTGCCTACACTTGCTCTGACCAGGACCCGGATGCCATCCCCCTGTCACGGTGCCGATCTCGGTGTAAAGTGGGAGAGTGGAGCCGCGGATTGGCTTGCCTTACGGCAGGGGAGTTGGCCCGGCCGTCTGAGGCCATGGTGCAGTCGCTGCGAGAGAAGCACCCTGCTAGCACTAGCGAGGTACCACAGTGGGTCCGTGATTTCAGCGTCGATGCTCCTCAGCGGCCTCCACTCACGGCCGACATCCTGGCCAGAACTATCCATACAGCCGCTCGCGCTTCAGCAGCAGGGCCATCGGGGTGGGTCACGGAGCATCTGCGCGACACCTTCCTCACTGAACCTTCCTGCCTTTCCCACCTGTTGGAGGTGTTCAACCAATGGGTGGCGGGACAGGTCCCCGAGCGGGCTCGGCCCTGGCTCGCCGCATCCAACCTAGTTGGGCTTTCCAAGCCTAACGGCGACGTCCGGCCGGTCGCGATTGGGGAAGTGCTTCCGCGTATCCTTGCTCGAGCTCTCTGCATCTCGCTCCGCCCTACGATGGCTTCCTACTTTCTGCCGTGCAACCAGCTGGGAGCGGGCACCAGGGCCGGGGTAGAGATTCTTACCCATTCTTTCCGGTCAGCGCTGGCTACTCACCCCGACTGGTGTGCGCTGCAGATAGATGTCGCGAACGCCTTCAATTCGTTTCACCGTCATGCGATGTTTGAGGGGCTGCGGGAGTCGTCTTTCTCAGGGTTGATCCCATTCTTACGTGTTTTCTACGGGACACCTAGCGATCTGTACCTCCGAGCGGGCCCTTCTGTACAGAGCCTTGAGTCGGCACGAGGATCGCGGCAGGGGGACCCGCTCGGCCCTTTCCTTTTCGCGTTCACGCAGCAGCAGGTGATGGAGTCGGTGACTAGAGAGTTCAGGGACCTACTTTTTCTGAGCTACGCAGACGATACCTATATCCTGGGACCGGCGGCTAGGATTCTAGAGGCGTTTGGGGCGCTGCGGGAGCGGTTGGAATGGGTGGGGCTGGAGGTGCAGGCGCACAAGTGCCGGTTTTGGGAGCGCGAGGGCGTGGATGTGGAGCTGGCACTGCCATTGGGGATGCAGCAGGTGGAGGAGGGTCTCACTGTGGTGGGCGTGCCTATTGGGGAGGAGGGTTGGGAGGTGACCCGGTTACGGGAGCGGCTTAGACAGTTGCAGGCGCCATTCCCATGGCTCCCCCTGCTCGACCACCCCCAGATGGCTTCACATCTTCTCGCCATTGCAGTTTCAGCACGGCCGATGTACCTGGCCCGGACTATGCCGCCGCGTCCGGAGGTGGTGGAGGCCCCAGGCCGATGTACCTGGCCCGGACTATGCCGCCGCGCATGCAGCTGCATCTCCCTGTGCGACTCGGAGGGTTTGGGATCCGGGCAGCAGCCTCTTTGAGTCCGCTGTCCTATGTTTGTGGGTGGGCGCAGGCCGCGCGTGATATTGCACAGTTGGGGGTGGCGGGCGAGGAGGCGATGTTTGCGGAGTACCTCACCACTTCGGCAGGGGCGGAGTTTCTTGACCCGTGGTTTGCCAAGGCTCTTGAGCAGCTGCCTGCGACTATACGCCAGGAGATGCCGGGCTTACCTCTGTGCGTAGCGGCCCCTCCTCTTCGGCTTTTCCAGGCGCGGCAGCGGTTGTTGGCGGTAGAGGAGCTCCAGACACTGCGTCGCTCGGCTCGTGACGATGCCACCCTGGCCCGTTTCACATCCCTTCAGGGCCCGGGGGCTGGTGCATGGGTTTCGGCGGTTCCGGCTCACTCAGATCTCACATTCACGGCGGCGGAGTGGGGCATTGCTGCTGCTATACGGCTCGGGCTCCCAATTCAGCAGCTGCAGGTGGCGGGGAGGTGTGTTTGTGGCACAGCATATGTTGACCCAGCAGACCCGCATCATGCCCTGAGATGCAAGCACCAGCATGGTCCATCTCGGGTACATGATGAGGTGAAGTTTGCGGTGGCGAAGATCTCTAAGGCGTCTGGGGGGGTGGTGACAATGGAGGATAGTGTGGTGCTGCAGGGGAAGCGGGTTGATGTGGCGGTGCGACGACCAATGGCTGGAGAGGCTCACGCCCTGGAGATCAGCGTCGCGGACCCGCTATCGCTGTCTCCATCTTTGCTAGGACAGTGCGGGCATCAAATAGGCGTGGCGGCAAGAGAATGGGAGCGTCGTAAAACGAGCGATTACGCGCCTCTGCTTGCACGCAACCGGGGCGTGCAGTTCACTCCTCTGATAGTGGAGACGTGGGGGTGTCTCGGCGGTCGCTTTCGGAGGTGGCTTCGTCAGCAGGGAGATGCGCACGTGGGGCTAGCTGTGTCGCGGGGGGCTTGTCGGGAGGACGACACTGTGTTTTCGGCTTATCTTCTAGGGTCACTGAAGGCGCTCATCGGGGTGGCGTTGCAACGTGCGCAAGCCCGTGTCATCCTGCTTCGAGCGGCGTCTTCTATGGGGGGGATTAACGTTGACTTGGTGGACCGGGAGTGGGACGATGGCGATGCGGAAGGCGGGGCTCTCTGGGTGGAGGCCCCGTACATGGTGGATTCGCTGTTGTGATTGGGGGGGGGGGAATGGGGTGTGGGATGGGATGTCTTGACAGGGTGTCTTGACTGGGCGTTTTGATTGGGTATCTTGAGGGGGGGTTTTATGTGTGTTGCATTTGGGTTCTTCTTGGCGGTTTCACTTTCCTTCTCCCTTTCTCTTTTCTTTTCTTTTCTTCTTCATTATTACAAGTCGTTATGTTGGAAGGGTAGCATGCACATTGCAGTACTGCCAATAGCTTGCCAACCGAAATTGGGGTCCAGTGTTGGTCACTAATTGAAGAATGTCTACTGAATGGACGAATGTCGAGGCTAAAAAACAAATCTGAATCAAGGTTTTGTAGCAAAATTTTGGTGCAAATAATATGCTTCAACTCAATTTACTGATTATTGATCCTACAACAATACCTGCCATAGCACCAGCTAAAATCGTGCTATGCAATTTCCCTTGTGCTTTTCTAATGACTCAACTAAAGGTTGAGAACTAGGTCTAGTCCATCATCCTGCGCCCCTGCTTCCCTATCACCATTGATCCCTGGCGTTGCTTCCAATGACGGTTGCTCTAACACGTGTTCTTCCTGCTCTCTTCTTGGCACTGATGGTTCGCCTTGGCGGGTGTTGGAAAGAATCGGTCCTAAGTGCCTCTGTCGTGTCGAAACACTAAGGCACAAGCGAAGCAAAGCATATCGAGGAACCAGCGAGTCAACCCTCGGAGGTTGAAGTAACCGTTGGAGGTTGAAGTAACCGCTGGAGGTTACGCGAAAGTCAAAGGTCAGTCACCTTTGACCTGACAAGTACAGCACGACAGCAAGGACACACAACTGACTCGTTACAAAGCAGTTGCCCGAGTCGTCACTGCATCGAACCGCAACAGCAACAGTAAAGTAGTTATAACTGTGTCTTTTCATATTCCCTGTATTCATATATAATCTTGTATCTCCTTGTTTTAATCAACTTACTTTGCTCTCACATACTAGCGCAAGGTGGTTCACAACACTTTATTAACGCTTCCGCTATTACACCAACTCTACCCAGAGTTCACCCCTGCAAAGATCCTAAGGGCCTTTTTCAGCCCTACAGCGGGGTCCGCTTTGGGCTTGGGTTAAGCTATTAGCTGTTGCACTCGTAAAATTTCCAGCCGCATCGTAACCAGCAAATGCATTCGTATCATTACGGCTCCCCATGTGAGCATGTAGCAGCCAATCCTGCACAGCGTTAGGGTTAGCACCAAGACCACCAACACCCTGCTGCTGCTGCATTTGCAACTGCTGCTGTTGCTGCTGCTGCATTTGCTGTTGCCGAAGCATCTGCTGCTGCAGCAGCTGCTGTTGCTGGTACTGCGACTGTTGGGCGAGCAGCAGAGACTGCGAGACATGAGACGCGTTCTGGTACGGAGGGGGGATGGGTGCTTGCTGTGAGAGATACATCTGCAGGGCGTGATTGTAGGCCGAGAGGAACTGAGATGTGGAGGCGGGGAATGGGGGTGTGTAAGAGGGAAATGGGGGTGTGGAGGAGGGAAATGGGGGTGTGGAGGAGGGAAATGGGGGTGTGGAGGAGGGAAATTGGGGTGTGGAGGAGGGGAATGCGCCGAATGGATTCGGAAAGAAGGAGTGGGTGAGAGCTTGTTGGGAAGGCCAAGAGAGTGGATTGAGAGCAGCGAGTGGGTTGGGGTGCATGGGCGACTGTATGGGGGGTTGGGGATGCATGGGAGGCTGCGGTAGGGAGGGAGATGGTACAAGGTTGAAGGATGGAAGGAACGGCTGGGTTGGCACATGTGTTGGTGCTGCTGCTGGTGCTGCTGGTGTTAGTGCTGCTGCAGCTGCTGCTGCTGCTGCTGGCGCTGCTGCTGCTGGCGCTGCTGCTGCTGGTGCTGCTGGTGCTGGTGCCGGTGCTGCTGGTGCTGCTGGTGCTGCTGCTGGTGCTTCTGGTGCTGGTGCCGGTGCTGCTGCTGCTGCTGCTGCTGCTGCTGCTGCTGCTGCTGATGGCAGTGCTGGGGATGCGGCCGCTGATAGTGCCAGGGACGTAAGAACCCTCGCAGCAGTAGACCGAACCCATGCATCTGACGCACCTGAAACACCTGAAGCTCCTGCAACACCTGATGTGCCTAAAGCAGCACCTGTGGCAGCAGCACCACCACCACCAGCAGCACCACCAGCACCGGCAGCACTGGCAGCACCACCAGCACCGGCAGCACTGGCAGCACCATCAGCACCGGCAGCACTGGCAGCACCACCAGCACCGGCAGCACTGGCAGCACCACCAGCACCGGCAGCACTGGCAGCACCACCAGCACCGGCAGCACTGGCAGCACCACCAGCACCTGAAGCCCCGGCAGCAGAAGCTGCTGCTGCAGCAGTCACCTCGCGCCTGACCACTGAGAGCACATGTGACACAAATGAAGGGTCCTGTAGGAGCGCCTCTTGCATCAACGACCGCTCCTGTGCTTCCTGCAGTGCTTGCTGCTGTGGATTCTGATGCTGCTGTTGCTGTTGGTCTTGGAGTTGTTGCTGCTGTTGCCTCCGCTGTGGTTGTTGCTGCTGCCTCTGTTCTTGCTGCCGTTGCTGTTGCCGTCGTCCCTGTTGTTGCTCTTGCTGCTGTTGTTCCTGGTATTGCTGCTGTTGCTGCTTTTGTTGATGCTGCTGTCGACCCTGCTGTGAGTGCTGCCCTTGTTGTTCCTGTCCCTGTTCCTGTCCCTGTTCCTGTTCCTCTTCCTGTCGTTGCTGCTGTTGCCGCCCTTGTTGTTTCTGCCATTGCTGCTGTCGTTCCTGCCATTGCTGCTGTCGTTCCTGCTGTTGCTGCTGTCGTTCCTGCTGTTCCTGCTGTCGTTCCTGTTCCTGCTGTCGCTCCTCCTGTTGCTGCTGTCGCTCCTGTTGCTGCTGTCGCTCCTCCTGTTGCTGGTGTGCAGAAGGAGGAGAGGCTGGAGTGGCAGGAAGGAAGGAGAACAGCGGAAGCTGTGACCACGACAGACCCGGCTGTACCTCTTGCTGCTGTCCCTGCTGTACCTCTCTTCCCTCTCTTCCCACTCTTCCCACTCCCTCCCCCTCACTCCGCCGCCTCACTTTCCCCCCTTCACACTCCCGCCCCACTCCCCTCCCCTCTCTCCCTCGCCCCACTCCTCCTCCCCTCTCAACTCCCCGCCCTGCAAAATCTCCATCCTCTTCTTCCTTCATCTCCCCTCCACCTTCTCTCATCCCTCCACCTCCTCCCATTTCTCTACCTCCATCCATCCCTGCCAGCCCGTGTGCTGATTCACCATCCTCCATTGCCCAATACCCGCCCGCTTCTCCGCCCTCCCCCATGACTTGGCCCCTATGCATAGCTCCGCCCTCCCCCATACCTCCGCCCTCCCCCATGCCTCCGCCCTCCCCCATGCCTCCGCCCTCCCCTATGCCTCCACCCCCCCTCATGCTTCCACTCTTTCCCATGCGTCCGCCTCTGTGCATGGCTCCGCCCTTTTCCTTAGCTGCTCTCATCTCTTCATCCTTCTCACTCTCTTCCACGTCCGCACTCTCCCTCCCTGCACCACTCTCCCTCCCTGCACCACTCTCCCTCCCTGCACCACTCTCCCTCCCTGCACCACTCTCCCTCCCTCCACCACTCTCCCTCCTCCCACCACGCTCACCACTCCCACACCCCCCACCAATCTCGCACCTCCCACTACTCTCACTCCTCCCACTACTCTCGCTCCTCCCACTACTCTCACTCCTCCCACTACTCTCACTCCTCCCAATCCTCTCACTCCTCCCACAATCCTCACTCCCATCGCCTTCCACACCATCCTCGCTCCTCTCTTTCCTCCCACCACCCACCCTTCCCTCATCTCCTCCACCTCCCTCCTCTCTCTCACCCTTCATCCTGTCCTCTCGCCCATCCACCCCCTCGCTCTCCATCCTCTCCCTACCCTCCTCCACCTCCTCTCTTCCCGTCCCTCCTCTCTCGCCTTCTCTTCCTCCCCCCTCTTCACGTCTCCCTGCAGCAGCCACCTTAAACCTTCGGATCGTTTTCCCTCCACTCCCCTGCCTTTGCACATCAGAAGTATGTAAATCAGTTCCACGCGTTTCCTCTTCCTGGGCATCAGAAGCACGAAGCCTGGCCTTCATACCAGTATTGCCCGGACTAGCCTGTTTTCCACTCTCGCTGTCACCAACTGGACCACCAATGCCATCAGCAGCACGAGTCGACTCAGTAGCATCTGCAGTCAAAGCACCAGCAGTTGCAGGAGCACTAGCAGCTGCAGCAGCATCAGCAGTAGCGTCAGTACCACCAGCAGCAGCAGCAACAGTACCATCAGCAGTGGCATCAGCACCACCAGCAGCAGCAACGGCACCACCAGCAGCAGCAGCCGCACCACCGTCACTGTGAGAAGCCAGATCACTAGCAGCAGCAAACTCACTCGCAGCAGCAGCAGCAGCAGAAGCAGAAACGACAGCCGAAGCAGAGACAGTAATCGTGGCAGAGCCGGGAACAGCAACGGGCGGGAAGGGGATGTTGCGCGCGGGAGGGTGGCAGTGCCTTCCCGAGTAGACTATTCTCAGACCCCCCGAAATGGCTGCTCGCACGAGTGGAATGTCGATTGTTTTCTTCGCAGTGCAGCCGATTGTGTATTTGGCACAGCGAAAATACGCCCTGATGAAGAGAGGGAAGAGGGAAGAGGGGAGAGGAGGATGAGGAGGAGGGAGGAAAGAAAGGATTTTCTAGGCACCTCAAAAACCTCAAGAGGGGAATGTCGATGGTACATTTGGCACAGTGGAAATACGCCCTGATAGAGTGGGGGGGAGAGAGAGGGAGGAGGGTGGAGAGAAGGAGGGGGGAGGACAAGAGATGGTTCTTTAGGCGCTTCAAAAATCTTCTCGCACGAGAGAGGGGAGAGAGAAGAGCAAGCCACAGGGCGCAGTGCAGCAGTCAGGGGAAAGCAAGAGAAGTGTGGAGAGTTGAAATATTGAGGGGCTTCACCCAGTGGGTCTCTCACCCAGTGGATCCCTCACCTGGCGTATTCTCGCTCCATGAGGCACTTCTGTCCGTACTTGTGCCAGTGGTACCCATCGTCCGGTGGGCTCAGCCGCGGTGCCGACGCTGCCACTGGGGGTAGGCTGCCCGCGCTGCCTGCAGCACCAGGAGGAGCGGCGGCAGCAGCAGCACCGGCAGAAGCAGAAGCAGCAGCAGCAGCAGCAGCACCGGCGGCCGCCGCAGCGGCAGGACTTACACCGGCGGCAGGCACGCCGGTGCTCTCTCTGCAAGACATGGCCGTGCTGCTGCTGGTTGCATTCGGGGTGGTGGCGGTAGCGGTGGCGGTGGCGGCGGTGGTGGCGGCAGTGGTGTTGCCGATAGTAGCGGCGGTGGCAGAATTAGGGGTTGCAGAACCTGGAAAAGAGGGGTTGGATGGCCTTTGCTGCTGTCCCACATGCCTTGACGAGGTTCCGAAGAGAGGTGGAGAAGGGAGGTGGGAGGATGGAAGATGGACGGAGTTGGGTGGGGAAGGGATTTGGGGAATAGGGAGGTGAAGGGAAAGAGGGAAATCAAGACATGAGCAGCAACACAACATTACCTACCTCCCTCCCTCCCTCCCTCCCTCCCGCCCTCCTCCCCTCAATTCCCCACTTCCCCACCTCCCCTCCCTCGACTCCCTTCCCTCCCTTTCCACCCTCCCCTTCCTGCCCTTCCTGCCCTCCCTAGTCTCCCTGCTCTCCCTGGCCTCCCTGCCCTCCCTGCCCTTCCTCCCCTCCCTCCCCTCCCTCCCTACCTTCCTGTCTCCCTTCCTTGTAACCCTACCTGGCAGCAGCTGCATCGATCCCCATCCCTGCTGCCATCGCCGCCATTGAAGGAGCACCTCTCAGCGCCCTCCCTCCCCTCCCCTCCCTCACTCCCTCCCTCCCTTCGTCCATCCCTCCCTCCCCTTCAATCCCCTCCCCTCCCCTCCCCTCCCTCCACAGCTCCCTCCCTCCCCACCCTTCCCTCCCTCCCTTCCTGTCTCCTCCTTCAAGCCCTACCTGGCAACAACTGCATCGATTCCCATCCCTGCTGTCATCGCCGGTGCCAGTGAGGGATCACCTCCTAATGCCCTCCCTCCCTCCCCTCCCCTCCCTCCCTCCCTCCCTCCCTCCCTCCCTCCCCTCCCTCCCTCCCTCCCTCCCTCCCTCCCTCCCTGCCCTCCCCTACCTCCCTCCCTCCCTCCCTCCCTCCCTCCCTCCCTCCCTCCCTCCCGCCCTTCCTGTCTCCTCCTTCAAACCGTACCTGGCAACAACTGCATCGATTCCCATCCCTGCTGCCATCGCCGCCATTGAAGGAGCACCTCCCAATGCCCATGCTCGCCAGGCAACCCTCCTTTCCTTTCGTCCCTACCATCCCTCCCTCTCTTTCTTCAAGCCCTACCTGGCAGCAACTGCATCGATTCCCATCCCTGCTGCCATCGCCGCCAATGAAGGAGCACCTCCCAATGCCCATGCTCGCCAGGCAACCCTCCTTTCCTTTCGTCCCTACCATCCCTCCCTCTCTTTCTTCAAGCCCTACCTGGCAGCAACTGCATCGATTCCCATCCCTGCTGCCATCGCCGCCATTGAAGGAGCACCTCCCAATGCCCATGCTCGCCAGGCAACCCTCCTTTCCTTTCGTCCCTACCATCCCTCCCTCTCTTGCTTCAAGCCCTACCTGGCAGCAACTGCATCGATTCCCATCCCTGCTGCCATCGCCGCCATTGAAGGAGCACCTCCCAATGCCCATGCTCGCCAGGCAACCCTCCTTTCCTTTCGTCCCTACCATCCCTCCCTCTCTTTCTTCAAGCCCTACCTGGCAGCAACTGCATCGATTCCCATCCCTGCTGCCATCGCCGCCATTGAAGGAGCACCTCCCAATGCCCATGCTCGCCAGGCAACCCTCCTTTCCTTTCGTCCCTACCATCCCTCCCTCTCTTTCTTCAAGCCCTACCTGGCAGCAACTGCATCGATTCCCATCCCTGCTGCCATCGCCGCCATTGAAGGAGAACCTCCCAATGCCCATGCTCGCCAGGCAACCCTCCTTTCCTTTCGTCCCTACCATCCCTCCCTCTCTTTCTTCAAGCCCTACCTGGCAGCAACTGCATCGATTCCCATCCCTGCTGCCATCGCCGCCATTGAAGGAGCACCTCCCAATGCCCATGCTCGCCAGGCAACCCTCCTTTCCTTTCGTCCCTACCATCCCTCCCTCTCTTTCTTCAAGCCCTACCTGGCAGCAACTGCATCGATTCCCATCCCTGCTGCCATCGCCGCCATTGAAGGAGCACCTCCCAATGCCCATGCTCGCCAGGCAACCCTCCTTTCCTTTCGTCCCTACCATCCCTCCCTCTCTTTCTTCAAGCCCTACCTGGCAACAACTGCATCGATTCCCATCCCTGCTGCCACCGCCGGTGCCAGTGAGGGATCACCTCCTAACGCCCTCCCTCCCCTCCCCTCCCCTCCCCTCCCTCCCTCCCCTCCCTCCCTCCCCTCCCTCCCTCCCTCCCTCCCCTCCCTCCCTCCCTCCCTCCCCTCCCTCCCTCCCTCCCCTCCCTCCCTCCCTCCCTCCCTCCCTCCCTCCCTCCCTCCCTCCCTCCCTCCCTCCCTCCCTCCCTCCCTCCCTCCCTTCAACCCCTACCTGGCAACAACTGCATCGATCCCCATCCCTGCTGTCATCCCCGGCGCCAGTGAGGGAGCACCTCCCAACGCCCATGCCTGCGGCGCAGTACCACTCCAGACGCTGTTTACGCCCCCAGGGTTACCACCCCTAACAGGGCTGGCAACACCAGGAGCCCATGACTGAACGCCCCATGCAGAGCTGTTGCTGCCTTGAATCCCGGAACCTCCTCCCCCGCCATGTGCTGCTTCTGCCGCTGCCACAGGTCCTGCTGCAAAGGGAGTGGGTGCCGTGGTTGCTGCTGCTGCTGCTGCTGCTGCTGCTGCTGCTGCTGCTGCTGCTGCTGCTGCTGCTGCTGCTGCTCCTGCTGCTGCGTTAGTAGGATCCTCTCTACTACTAGTAGTAGTATGTGTGGCAAACTGACGTGCCGTGTCGGCCGAGTTGCCGGCGCGGATACTGGGAACAGAGAGCGGAGAGGAGCCACGTGGCATCATGCCAACCGACTGCGGCGACTGTAACGATGCCATCAACGACGGTGGTAACCAGCCCTGATCTTGCCGTTGTTGATGGACGGCTGAAATGAAGGGCGGGGCCATAAGGGTGCTGGTAGTTTGCTGGTAACTTGAATGTGTCATAAATGTATCGGAGAGGCTATTAAAGAAGTTCAGCAGAGGGTTGGGAAACGAGGGAGGCGCGGAAAGAAAGGGCGATATAGCAGAGTAGTAAGCTGCAAACGCGGCGAGCTGATGCGGGACCAAGGAGTTAGTGGGGTCATTAAATGGTCCCAAAATACCTCCTGAAACACTAGCAGTACTAGAAGCATTAGGGTGGGTAAAACTCCCGGTTGCACTCACGTTATAGGGGTTGAAATAACTGAATATTGAGTAGACGGAAGGAGCAGAGGGAGACTGACTAATAATCGAACTACCAGTGATGTTCTGAATAGTACTAATCTGTCCTGGCCCGGGTGTTTGACCTGGCCCCCTAACGCTAGTACCATGGGGACGATGATATTCCCTCCCCCTGCCATCTTGAAATGCCGCACTGCTGCTGCCAGCGGTGGTCTGACCGCCGCCCTGCGTTGGCCACATGGCAGATGCTCATCACACTAATAGCAGTCCTGCCAGCAGCAAATCTGCTTCAACCAAACGTGGTCTGGCAATCCAGCTGTCCAGGGAAGTTTCAAACTTAAATTGCAAAAACGACAAGGGACTGGTGGCAGCAGCCAGTTCAGGGCAGGAACTGAAAACACGAGCTGCCCGATCAAGCATTTAGGTTAGTTGTTGGCAGTCGCTCTCTGCCATTCGGAAAAAATCCTGCTGGTTTTGTTTCTTTTTGTTGGACGCTTACTACAACCCAACATGGAAAGGGTGTGTTGCGAAGGTGCCGAAACTCCCATTTCCACCCCCTTCAATTGCGGTCGCTTGCCGTACTTGTTGTAGTATCCACTGAAGAGCGCTCTGCGGAGAAATTTCACAAGCGCAGGTCGCGGACTCCGATTTGGGAAATCTGGGGAGAACGACGAATCTGGTTGATAAATGGTTTGCGAAGCGAAGTTGTGGAGCCTAGATCCAGAAACAGGATCTCCAAACAAACCAGCATCAAGGCAGGAAGCTTTGCTGCTGAAAAACAGTGCAGGCACTGCAAACCAGCAAGATAAGGAAACCCTTGGAAACCTGCAAACCAGCACAATCTGAGCTTAGCAGAGAATTTTGTGAGACGGGTGAGAAGAGGATCCATCTGCTTTGATTGCAAACCATGCAAAGAAAGCAAACCCTCCACCGCAGCTATTTCGCGTAGAAATCTGGTTTCGTCTTCGTCAACCAATGACAATGCATCATTTGATTCACAAACAAGGGTTTGGTGGTCGTGCGACACAATGAATGTTGGCGCACTCGGTCCACTCAGACCTGTCATTGAGGAGCGTACGCATTTCAAAACCGCTCCGTCTCAGTAACACTGTTTCAACCCATGCTGCATTTGAACTTTTTGGTTTGGTGTCAAGATGAACGGACAGGCAGGTCCGAAGGTAGCATGTGTGGTTCACAATAACTGAATCACGTGCAGTCACATTCTTGTATGACGCATGTCTAGACTCTAGACTGAGGAAGAAAGCAGCGCACGAGGACAGAACTTGTGGTGGAAAATAATTTTCACTTCACCTCACCGGCAGGTCCTCTCCCATACTGACCGCTATGGAACACATTGCAGGCCCCAAAGTACGAACTCGTTTCCGAAACCCTGACATTCAGAACCCGCTCTAGAATGTTCATTTCACAAGCACAAAGGACAAGGTCCACCGCACTTTTTTACAAACCGCGTTCACGCGTGCGCTACGAGCTGAAGCCGACTCGGGAACCCAAGATGTATCATCCCAGCGGTGGTACCCGATATTTTTAGTTTCATGCAGCTGACAATGTTTGACCTCACATATATAACATTGCCACCTAAGGAATTGCTGCAAAGCCATAAAGCACATCAACATGCCTGTTGTTCTCTGTCAATATTCTTCACATTCTTGGTATTCTACTCCAAGTTGTTTCCAAAACCGATGTATATACGCGCGCACACATGGAAAAATCAAAACCAAAAATGGAATGTTGAGGGGGTGGAAAAGATAAACCGTACAATCAATGTAAAAAAACTTTCCCTAAAGCATAGACAAACACAATGATGGGGATATTGTCAACAAGTTCTTCCTTCTCCTTGGCTGGCCTCCAGGCCCTCAGATTGGTTTGAGGGTATGCTGATGGATCAGCGTGCCCCTGCCAACCAGGTGTCCAAATCAGCGTTGGTGGTTTTCAATATACTGATCCTGTCAGGGTAAAATTTTCCACTGTACTGATCCTTCAGTGTAAAAAAGTCCAAAATAAATATACCTAACCTAACCTACCTAACTAGTACTACTAGAGAACTAGCTCATGTCATCATCTGAAGAAGAAAAGCTACTGCTACTGCTGCCATCATCATCACTCTCACTGTCATCGCCTGCAGAACCACTCATGCCCTCATCTAGCTCCTCCTCCACCTGCACCAGCCGGCGGCCACTCCCCTTAACAAACTTGGCCTTGGCCCGCTCCTTCTCTGGCGCAGCTTGCTCCTTGCGCTTGCTGGGGCGCCTGTTCCTGGTACTCCGCCAGATGTCCACCACCTTGTCCCAGTCCATGTCGTAGTCGAGCAGCGACATCGCCATCAAATCTCCCAGATTGGCGTTGCAGAGACTCGTCCGGCGCCACGACTTTATCACATTCTGGCGGGAAAACCCGCGCTCGCACTCGACTGTGCTGAGCGGCAGTACAGCGACGGCAGCCCACAGACGGACTAGGTTGGGGTAGCTGGTTTGCCAGTCGCTGGTCTGCAAAATGGCCTTCAAGCCTGCGTGAAAGGGCTGCTCTTCCTTGGGCGCAGTGGAGAGCACCGGCAGGAACGTGCGCAGCTCCGCTCGAGCTGCACGCTTCTGGACACCTGCCAAACAGGAGAGCACAACCGGGTAGAAAGTCAAGCTCTCAACATGGCAATAACGCAACCACGGAAACGGCTACGCATACACGCAGAGCATAGGGGTTCCGTCTCTAGCTCACCTGGCAAGATCGTGTCCCGGTTCTTGGCCTGGAACAGATGGACGAGGCCGTGCAGGTGCTCCTTGCACTCGGCGTCTCTAGCCTCGGCGCCCCTCGGCCACGAGCGGGGCATGAAGAGCTTTGCCCCGTTCAAGCGCAGCTCGAGGTTGTACACCAGCTCGCGGGCGAAGGAGCGGCAGCAGGTGTAGCAGCCTTGCATGTCCCCGCTGCTGGTGGTGTATCCCTTCACGGCCTCCTCGTGCAGGTCGAACTTGTGTACCCGGGCCTCACCATCCTTGTCCACCCCCTCCACAGTCACTTCACGGCAGTCCGGGGAGGCGTGCTGCGCGAGGAATGCAGACAGCAGCTCGCTGGTCCCACCGCCAAACTGCTGGCCACAGTGCAGGTACCGCTGCTCCATGTAAATGATGGTCCGCCTCACCTGGGAGTGCACTGCAGTGAGGTCAACCTGTTGGTAGGGGGAGAGTAGGTACACCGAAACAAAAGATAAGTAACTGGGTTTAGAAGATGAGAAAAGCACTACGTAACTCAACACCTCACCTGACGCTTCTGGAATAGCAAGTTGAGCGCGTTGAGTGCCGTGTGCACATCTGCCAAGAAGAACAGAAAAAAATGAAACTTGAACGACGTCACCAACTGGTACATCGTCTTGTCCGTCTCCTCGAGCATGACGATGACCGCAGGGAAAAAGCGGACGAATCGGGCGATAGCATCGCCCCGACTCAACCAGCGGACCGAGTGGATCCCCTGGACCTCGAGGTTGGTGTGCGTGAACACCTCCTGCAGCTCCTTGAACTTGCGGTTGTAGTTGCTGGATCTGCCTAGATCTTCCGGCAATGCGCGGATGACCGCGTCAATGATGCCAAGCTCGGGCAGTGCCTTAGCCGCCTCCTTTGCAGCAAGCGCCTCCCTGCCACGGGTAGGAAAGCACAGGTGGGGGTGTTAGAATTTGCACTGCCACGTTGCACATTTCACACTGCTACAACACCACCACAGCATCAGCTTACCTGTGTGCGATGCAGTGACAAGCCACCACGTGCGGGATCTCCAGGCGAAGGCGCCCAACGAGGCCCGTGTCGTTGCCTATCATCACAGGTGCCCCATCGGTGCTGATACCCGCAACCTTCTCCAGCGGGAGGTTGATACTGTCAAGGAATTCCGTGAGCTTAGAAAAAAGAGAAGCTGCATCACACTTCTCGATGGAGAGGTTAGTTAGGAACTCTGTGGTGACGGCGTGCTCACGTAGAAAGGTTGCAAACACAATCATGTGCTTGCCTTTGACGCGGTCCGTACTCTCGTCGCAGGTCAGACCAATAAATGGTCGAGTTGAGGAATTCTCTCTGGCGCGCACGAAGGTATGTCGCTATTGCGGCGGTTATCTCCTCGAATCCATACCTGCACGGGCATCAACGGGTGGGGTCAGAGATAGCTGCAAGTACATCACAACCCGCTGCCAGTTGAACAAGAGCAGTGTCACTTACGTCGTATAGTACGCACCATAACTGTTCTTTGGGAAGCCCGGGGTGCCACGCTGCGCCAGGTGTTGGACGAGGTCCACGTACATCTCGATCGGGGCGTCGAACTTAGCGATGAAGAGCGCCGTCTGAAACAGCGCGAGCAGGCGCTCCTTCTCCACGTCTTTCACATTCGGGTTGTCGTCAATACGGGCATTTGCTTTGAGAGCCGCCTCGGCTGTCTTCTGTCTGCGCACAGCGCGGCGGTGCTTCCTTGTGCGCTGATGCTTCCGCATCGCCTAAGTCTGAACATCGGTCGCCCCTTCTCCTTTGGCGCCGAAGTTCGTCCCCGTACCGGCGTGCGCAATACAGACCTTGCACTTGATTGACGGGAACCCTGCTTTATTCTGCAGCAGTACAAGCCACGGGTAGTCGTCAGACCATTGTTTGTTAAACATAGCTAAAGCCTCTTGGTATTTCTCCTCGGCAATGTCGGGCAGTTCTGTATCGGAAGACACCTCAACCGCTTTCCCCTTCATTTTACGCTGACGGGCCTTCGGGGAAGAGTTACCCACACCGGACGTTGGTGTAGCTTGACTGGAACCCCACCCGATCTTGGTCTGGTGGTACCTCACTTTAATACCCCTTTTAAGACGAGGACCTTGCCGAGTAGTTCCGGCACCGACAGGTTGACGGTTCCGTGTGGGTTCGGGAGCGGCAGGTGTAGATCCGACAGCGTCAGGAGTTGATGCGGCAGCGACAGGCGTTGATGCGGCAGCGACAGGCGTTGATGCGGCAGCGACACGAGTTGATGCAGCAGCGACAGGAGGTGAAGCGGCAGCGCCTACATGCGTCGAACACTCGCCCTGCGTCCAGATGGTAGGTGCCTCGGGGCCAGTGGAAGGGAACGGCACGGCTTGAGCTGACGGCGGGACTAACGCGGGAGCAGCGTGAACGCGTCGTAAAAAGTCTAAGCCAGTAATAGCGGCTGGCCTCGTGCCTGCGACGGGCGGAGGGCCGTCACCTGCGGGCGTCGAAACCGCCATGGCTGCTCAGCGCTGCAGAGCATGCCGAGCTTGAGGGAGAAGCTACTCCTGCTTCAGCTCGAGCATCACTTCCTGCAGGGGTTCACGAGGAGTGCAGGAACAAAATGAGGGAGCAGATGGGGGTACCCCCTCTCCCGAGCTGCGATGACGAGGGATCTTGGTCCAGGCCAGGGTTTCCGTCTTCCCAGGCAAGATGACAACACCCCCACTCCACACTGCCATCCCTGGCGTGTTGGCGTGGACCCTGCCACCAGTGGTGTGTTGTCTGTGTTCTCATTGGGCAGTTGTGAACTAGGTTAGCCGTTCTCTGGTATTCTGGCTTCCAGCGCGGCAAAACGGTTCGGCGCGCACTAGCTGTAAATACAGCGCATGTGAGAAGATTCCAAGTGTGTGTGGGGTTTCGTGAATCACGCGAAGGAACAGCCTGTACACGCGTCCCCCCCCCCCCCCCTTTCCCCCGGCCGGTCAAATCCGTTTCAGGGTGACGCACTGAAGTATACTGATTCCTCAGTGTAACTCGTTCAGAAACACACAAAACCGTCAGTGTGGCAAACTCACATTTACTGAAATTTCAGCCGAAAATGGAAGCATTTACTGATTTTCCAGGGAAAACGAAATTCAGAGCTACAAAATCAGCGTAATCAGCATGTTTTACGCTGACATCTGAGGGCCTGGCCTCCTAAATGGTTTGGTCCACCACAGGTGCCAAACCTTGGCCTTGGGCAGCTCCCTCATCTCCCCAACCCGGGCCACACAGTACGGTACTAGCACACCCCACAAGGCAAGGAAGGATCACACAGAACCAAGCCACCACTGTGTGCGTGCGTCTGTGTATGTGTATGTATATGCATGCACTAGCTTTTAGCACTCCAGTCCATTCCATCCATATATTGCAGCGAAAGGAACTGTGGTTGACATGCACTACCAGATACTGTAATTAACAATCCCCCACTACCGTACCGGTAATCCCCAGCGCCACTACTTATTGAGCAGCTGGTCCTCCCCAGGCAGGTTCTTCCTCTCCTTGGCCTCCTTGATGGTCCACAGGTCCCACACCTTGGTCTTGGGCGGCTCCCTCACCTCCCCCACCGGCGCCACCAGGTTCGGGTTATCAGCCCCCATCACCCCGTCCACCAATCCATACTCCACCGCCTCCCACGGGCTCATGAAATTGTCGCGATCCGTGTCAATCTCAATCTGAGGTGGGAAAGACAGGAGGAATAGGTGGAGTTGAGAACACGATGTATGTGCAAGTATTCAGGTTGGGGTTATCGGCCCCATCATCCCATCCACCAATCCATACTCCACCGCCTCCCATGGGCTCATGAAATTGTCCCGGTCGGTGTCAATCTCAATCTGCAACTAGGACAGATGAAAGGGGCCAGGAAAGGGAAGTGGTATTAAGGAGTGACAGATCGGAGAGCGTTTGGTCGGATTGGGATTATCGGCCCCCATCACCCCGTCCACCAATCCATACTCCACCGCTTCCCATGGGCTCATGAAATTGTCCTTGTCTGTGTCGATTTCAATCTGTCCAATACAGGACAGATGGAAGCAGTCAGGAAAGGAAACTAGAATCGAGAACAAGATGCCTGTGCGGTTGGTGAGGTTGGGGTCACCAGCCCCCATCACCCCGTCCACCAGGCCAGACGCAGGGGGAAGATGGAACGAATGGAGGCAGAGGAAGTAAGGGTGGAGGGGAAAAGGGAGGAATAGCAGAGAAGGTTTCTTGAGAATGGAAAAAAAGTACTTCCTGTTCCTCCTGGTACATGAAGACCAAAGATTGAAGGCAGGCAAGGGGGAGGTAGCAATTGGGGAATCGCACCTGTTCCTCGGATTTGCCGGTGACTCGTGAGAGGATCTTGTTGAGCTTGACCTTGTGGTACATCATCTCGCGCACCTGCAGCCCCACGTCTATGGCCTGCGCAGGGGGGGGAAACAAGCGGGGAGGGAAGGGGAAGGGACGGGGGGGGAAGCCGAAGGGGGGAGTTGGAGAGGTGAAATCAAACAAGTTTGAGCTTGCACCTTGGGTATCATCTCTCGCACCTGTAGCCCCACGTCTATGGCCTGAGATGGGAAGGGGTGCGGAGGGGTGGAGAGGGGTTGCTAGGAATAGAGGAGGAAGACTTAGAGGGACCTTGCACCTTGTGGTGCATCATCTCTCGCACCTGCAGCCCCACGTCTATGCCCTCCAGAGGAAGAGAAGCAAAGGGGAAGGGGAAAGGAGGCATGTGTCAGAGCGAGAGGGGAGACTTCAAGGGAGGGACCCTGCACCTTGCACCTTGTACCATGTGGAGTGGAGAAATCCCCCACTCCCCCCCTCCCCCCACCCCCCCCCCCCCCCCCACCCCCGTTCCCCATCCCCCTGCCCCTCCCCATGTACTCACCGATCCCTGCGCGCCTCCCAGCGGCTGGTGAATCATCACGCGCGCATTCGGCATGCAGAAGCGCTTTCCTTTCGCGCCCGTGGCGAGCAGGAACGCGCCCATGGACGCGGCCAGGCCGAAGCAAATCGTGGAGATGTCCGCGCGGCACAGCTTCATGGCGTCGTAGATGCCCATGCCCGCCGTCACCGAGCCGCCTGGGGAATTAATGAGGAGCTTGATGTCGCGCGTCGGGTCCTGCGAGTCGAGCAGCAGCAGCTGGCTTATGATAAGGTCCGCGCTGAAATCGTCCACCTGCAGCGGAGGGAGGGGAGCGGGGGAGGGAATGGCGACCGGGAGGAGAAGCGGGAATGGGAAAGGGGGAGAGGGCTCACGTCTGGAGTCGGTACAGCAAAATTCGCGCTGAAATCGTTGAGGTCGGCTTATGTTTGGGAGAACAGGCTTCGGGAACTTGCTGCGTGCCAGCTCAGGACGATCGATGTGGGGTGATATTGGGTCGAGCCTAAACTCGAACTTGGGTGAACTTGCCTTAATCGACTCTCAACTCGAACTTAGGTAAACCTGCCTGCGCGCCGAGGAAGATTATCCGTTTGGCTCAGGGAGATCGACGCGGGGTGACTCTTAAAGTGACTCTAAGCTCAGACTTGATATAAAACTTGCCTGCGTGCCAAGGAAGATTATCCGTTGGCTGAGAAGAATCGAAGCGGGGTCCATGTCCTGGAGCCGCGGCATCGTCTGCTCCGCGCTCATTCGCGTTGCGGGGAACTGGCTGGCACCCGCCACGTCGAATCCCGCGCCGCCTAGACTGATAAGCGACGGATCAAACCCTAGCACGCCATTTCTGCTGGCGCCATTCGAGATCGACGCGCGGCACGTTAGGCTTCTACGGATGCTCGGAGCGCGGTTCGAAGCTGTCAATCGCGGAGCGGACGCGGTTCTGTTTCTCGCGGTTTTCACGCTTGCGGTCTGGGCCGCACTGCAGAGCCCCGCAATTTGCCGTGCTAGCGGCGCGGACCCGACTGCGAGCTCCATGAACTGAGTTGCAGCAAGCAGTGGCGCAAAGCGCTGCTAAAATAGTCCACGTGCCCTCGGGTGATAAATGCTGGGAGATTCTAGGGCTGACCTGGCATTATCTGCTGAGTGGTTGATGACTGGAACAGAAATCGCGAGTCAGGGCTGCGGAGGAAGGGGAGGGAAGGGGCAGAGAAAAGAGGGTGGTGCGGGAAGAGGCGCGGGGTGGTGGGAAAGGATGGAAGGGAATTGGGAAAGGGTCAGTTGGGAAGGCTCAGGCTGGGGAAAGAGCAAAGTGAAGGATTTGACCGCATTCACATAACAATGCTAAGAAATCATAAATTTTACAGTGTCCTGCATTATTGCAGCATTGGTCGGTTTTTGTACACATATATCAGCATCTGCCGCCATTTATAAATTTTAAGAGCGCATAATATTTTGTATTTTAGACTAATCATTGCATTAGATGGGTTGGGTCCCATAAGAGTAGAATTAGTATCTGAGGGCATAGCGCGATTCAGGTTATATGCTATCACTGCAGTGCTTCTAGTCATCCTGGATATTTTTGTATTGAGGTGCTCATCACATTTTGGGCCAATAATTTCGTGCCGCAATTTCAGGCGATTCGCCCCGATGTGTGAGCTGGCTGGAAGGTCTGCAGAAACTGCTTTCGAGGCCCTGGTTCCGCCGAACGTGAGGTTACTCCAGCGCGCAAAAGAGGTGCGGAACAAGCGTGCGAGCCACGAGCACGGTGAACAAAGTGGTTCGGCTTGGTCGGTGTTGTGGAATACCCAAGGCCGAACCTAGAGACTGCCATCGTGTTGTCGTCGTCATTTTCTTTGTGCCGTGACGGGATAGCCTATTTCACTCTCCCCACAACTCTCCCTTCGCTTTTGGCTCTATCTGGTCTGGTCCGAGCAACCTTACGCTTCCTGTTCAGTACAAGTCTCTGATTCACAGACAAGTCACTTTCTCGTTACGTTCCTGGCTCATTATCTCACGCCATTGTTGCTTGAGAATCTCAGAGCCTGTTCTTCCATGTTTCGGTGACTTTCGCAAATTTCTGGTGTCATCCAGCGATATTTTTAACCGTTGTTCTTCTTGCAACCAGAGCTTGTATCAACTCTTCCACAGCTTACCACAAATTTCTACCTACAGAGAAGTACCAAATAGACACGTAAGCCAGACTTTCAGTCCGAGAAGTAAGCCAGTACAGCAACCACACCGTTATGGCAGGCTACGATGCTGCAACGAGCGAACGACCGTCTCAGACGACCGCCAATCCTACACCGAAGTCTGTCAGAATGTGGGACGTTTTCCGTCCGCACATCCTGGATTGGGTCGTCTTCGTCCTCATCACCGCGGGGTCCATCGCTCTTGACTCCGTTCATCCCTTCCAGCAATTCGTTAACGCTGATTACATGCAAAAGTACATGTACCCGTTAAAGCCCGACTCGGTACCATTTTGGGCCGTTCCGGTGAGTTCAGGTACCTCTGCCTCTCGACGTCTCGCTTCTGGCTTTTAATTTCTATTGCTATTATGGGTAGAAGACGCGAACGTTTAACCTCTCTTTTCTGAAATAAAAGGCCTTAAAGTTCCATAATGTCCTCAGTGTTGGGCTAACTGTAAAATAAATCTCTAAAATGTTATTAATCCTTATAATGCTCGTCGTATCCCTCTCCATCCTCGTCAGGTCTACGCGTTTGGGTTTCCATTGTTGGCGATGACCGTGTCGTTCATCCTACGCCGCGACTTCATCGACTTCCACAGCTCGCTGCTAGGTCAGTTGTGACTTCTGAGTCGACTCAAAAGCCATCTCGTTTTTGAGTCGACTCAATGCTCAGGTGTACGCGTTTGAGTTTCTACTGCTGGTGATGACGTGTCATTCATCCTACGCTGAGACTTCATCGACTTTCACAGCTTGCTCCTCGGTCAGCTGTGATCAGCCAGGTCAGCTGTGATCAGCCAGGTCAGTTGTGATCAGCCAGGTCAGTTGTGATCAGCCAGGTCAGTTGTGATCAGCCAGGTCAGTTGTGTTTTTTTCTCTCCTCATCAGTTGTGATCATTTTTTCGCTCCTCGGAGTTGAGATCTGTCGATACTGATATGTAATCTCCAAGCAACGCATGTCATGGCTCACTCCCTCCCTCCCAACCCGCTCACGGCACACAAAGGCAGGAGTCTTTCGTACTTACCCACACAATTCGTCATCAGCTCCTTCTCTTGCCCTCAACTCGCATCCCTTCTCCTAGGCCTCGCTCCCCTCACGAAATCTACTCCAACACCCCCTCTTCCTCTTTGCTTTTCCAGCTTTCGGCTTCAGTTGGGCACCCCCTCTCTCCCAAACCCTCTCCCCCATTCTCTTTTCCCCATTCCCGTGCCCATTTCTTTACCCCCGTTACCTCGCCCGTATCCCCTTTCCCCCATCGCTTGGCCTCATTGCCATTCCCCTATTCCCATCCCCCATCACCTTGCACCAATTCCTTTCCCGCCCTGAACCTCATTCCCTTTCCCCACCCTCTGCCTCCTCCCCAGATTTCGTCTTCACCTTCACCCTCACCACACCAACGCGTTCAATGTGATAGCAATGGATTCGCCCCCCCCATTCCCCCTCCGTTGTGCCCTTCCCTCCTCCTCAAGTCTCATCTTCACCTTCCCCCTCACCAACACGCTCAAAGTTAATGAATCTGATTCGCGCCCCCATTTCACTCGCCCCCATCTCCTTCCCCCCGGCCAGGTTTCATCTTCACCTTCCTACTCGTCTTCACCTTCTTACTCACCAACGCGCCCGAAGTGACGGCATTTGTTTTACGCGGCCTCGCCTAAACCCCCATCTTCATTCTCCCCCCCCCCCCCCCCCCCCCCCACCCTTTCACATTTCTACCACCTTCCTTCTCACATTTCACATTTCGCGTGAACGTACAGCATTTGATTCGCGCCGCCCTCGCCTTACTCCCATCTTCTACCACCTTCCTCTACCCCCTTCCTCTACCACCTCCTGCTCACCAACGCGCTCAAAGTCCCCGTCAGCCTCCTCTGGGCGCTTGACCCCAGTCCCTTGACCCCCTTCCCCCACTCCCATGCCCTCAACCCATTCCCTCCCCCCCATTTCCCTCCTGCTTCAGGTTACGTCTTCAACTGTGCGACCACCTTTCTGCTCACCAACGCGCTCAAGGTCTCCATTGGCCGGCCCCGGCCACACTTCTTCATCGTCTGCTTCCCCTCGGGCGTGCCTGTGAGTCTGGCGCTTGCGCAAATGCACAAATCAAGATTGCTTCTGGCTTGTCAGTCAACTCAGGAGACGACCCGGCCACACTTTACTTCTTTATTGTCTGCTTCCCCTCGGGCTTTCCGGTGAGCCCGGCTCTTGAGCAAATGCACAATCTGGGCGCACGCGTTTGTTCTTCCCATGATAAGATTTTTCCAAGCCATGGCCATGGGTATGATATCGGGGTGATAGGTGCTAGCCACGCAAGTGTCTTCAGTGAGTCCACCCCCCCTCCCTTCCCCTCCCCTCCCCTCCTCTCTTCCCTCCCCTCCACCTTCCACTGTACTGCCTGTCAGGTGTACGGCAGTGACGGCAACGCACAGTGCAACGGGTCGTCATCCAGTGTCATGGAGTCGAGAGTCAGCTTCCCCAGCGGCCACACCTCCAGTGAGACCAATCCCCCTCCCCTCCCATCCCCTCCCCTCCCCTCCTCTCTCCCCTCCCCTCCTCTCTCCCCTCCCTTCCACTCCTCCCTCTCCTACCTTCCCCTCCTCTCTCCCCTCCCTTCCCCACCTCTCTCCCCTCCCACTCCCCTCCCCTTCTCTCTCCCCTTCTCCTCTCCTCTTCCCACAACGATCTCTCTTTACATGCAATCCCTACCCTACCCATCTCGTGCAACCCTTATTCTCCACCTCTCGCCTTCTGGAAAATGTACAACCATCGTTTGCATCCCGTCTCTTCCCCGCCTCGTTTCCCACTTTCCCCATTCCCTTCCACCCATCCCTTTCCCGTCCCTTTCCCTGCCCAGTGTCCTTTGCAGGTTTGACCTACGCTGCGCTCTTCCTGGCAGCCAAGCTGCAGGCCTTCAGCGCAAGAGGGAGGGGGCAGCTGTGGCGGCTAGTACCGTCGGCATGCTGCCTGGCGGGCGCTGCTTCTGTGGGCATCACTCGAATCGACGACTACTGGCACTTCCCATTTGATGTCTTCATTGGGGGGCTCATTGGTAAGGACTCATTGACTCGTAGGCACATGCCTGTTCGGGTTCGAGTTGGAGGGGGCAGCTGTGGCGGCTGGTGCCGTCGGCATGCTGCCTGGAGGGCGCTGCTGCGTTTTGAGTCGACTCAAAACTCGGCTAGTACTGTCGGCATGCTGCCTGGCGGGCGTGGCTTCCGTGGGCATCACTCGGATCGACGACTACTGGCACTTCCCATTCGACGTGTTCATTGGGGGGTTGATAGGTAGGGGAGGGCTGATAGGCAGGGGCTCATAGGCTCACTCACATGTGCTATGTGCTCTTTGTGTCACTCGAGTGGACGACTACTGGCACTTCCCGTTTGATGTCTTTGTGGGAGGGTTGATAGGTAAGGGCTAATTCACTCGTTGGCACGTGCCTGTTCGGGTTCGAGGGGGAAGGGCCAGCTGTGGCGGCTAGTACCGTCGGCATGCTGCCTGGCGGGTGCTGCTTCTGTGGGCATCACTCGAATCGACGTCTGCTGGCACTTCCCCTTTGGCGTGTTCATGGGAGTGTTGAAGGGCTCATTCACAGGTAGGCCGACCCCCCTTGCACGTGCTATGTGCTGTGCTCTTCGTGTCACGCGAGTGGATGACTACTGGCACTTCCCCGTTTGATGACTTCATGGGAGGGTTGATAGGTAAGCGCTCATTAACTCGTAGGCACATGCCTGTGCAGGTCGAGGGGGAGGGGCCAGCTGTGGCGGGTGGTGCCATCAGCATGCAGCCTGGAGGGCGCTGCTTCCATGGCCATCACTCGAGTTGATGACTACTGGCACTTCCCCATCGACGTCTTCATTGCCATAATGCTGTGTGCATGAGAGCATGGGTGTAATGAGAGCAAGAGGGCATGATTGCATGGCTGCATTCGGGCAGGAGTTCAGAGGAGGGTTGTAGGGATCCACCACATCCCCACGGCCAGTGTAGGACGGCGGTTGCCGTCCAGGCAGGTGCTTGCGCTGTTGGCATCTCCTCGACCTTTTTCTTCTGCTCCATGCCTTGCCTCCTTACCTCCTCACCTCCTCCGTGCCTTTCCCTCTTGCGTCCTTACCTCCTGCCCACTTGTTTGTTGCATTCCACCTCTCCAAACATCGTCTACTGACCCTTGACTGTGCAGGTATGGTGGTTGCAGCCATCTGCTACTTCCTGCACTACCCTGCACTGTCCAACCAGAACTGTACGTCTTGCACTGTCATATTTGACATGTCTTCTTTTAAGGTGCCTCAAAAGGCATCTACCTTCTTCCTGCACTACCCTGCTCTCTCCAACCAGAAGTGTGCATCTTGACACATTTGACCTAATTGACCTATTTGAAATATTTGAACTTCATATCTTTTTTCCTTGCACCAGACTTCCGTTCCTTAGCCACCCATCACGCAACTAGCTTTCTTGTTCCAAAACCATTTGCCACCCTCTTGCTCCCCGGCATCTGCCTTTTTTTGTATGGTCAGGTGACATTCCGCTTCTGTCTCTCGGCCCAGATGCGGAAACTTGTCAGGTTTCATGTTGTGGGGGCAAGAGAGCTCTTGCCGCAGACCTAGAGCCCAATGAATCTAGTGGAGTGTAGAGGTTCCAAGGATACAAGAAAGTTGGAAAGGCTGGGAGAAATAGAACCTATTGGAGAAAGATGTTGAAGTGTTGAATACAGTGCTGGTCTTCATTTGATCTTAGGTCGCGGTTCCAGACTTGTCCGCCCGCCATCCGGCCCTCTGTGACGTGTAAGCACACCCGTTTATTGGTCATCACAAAAGTTTCCAGATATCTTGGAGCATGGTAGCCAATCAGACGTGTACTTTCGTCTACACTTGTCCAGACTTTTATGGCGGGCGAACTTTAGAACCGTCATCTTATTTTCTAATATGGAGCTAGATGTGCTTCACTTATATATGCTGAGCTGGTTGACCTCTACGTTGCACACAGTTCGGACCGGCAAGCTTGTAGTGTAAGCTGAGCTGGCGGAAGTGAATGCTTCTACGATATCGCGTAGTTGTATCGGAGAAGCTTCAAGGATATCGCAAATCAACAAGAACCAGAAACCAGCGAATCAGCAAATGTGGCGACGTAGGGCGACGAGGATCGTGCTTGTTCGTGAATTCCACGAACGTTGTTACATTTTTCGCAAGATTGGTTTAGTTTTTCGCAAGCTGTTCTTGTTCCACTGTTTGTTGCTGCTTGTTCAAGTTTGGCCAACTGTAGTTTCCATCATCCATTTCTGCGTAATTCATGGCTGCTTTTCATACCTTCCGGGTTCCACCAGAGTCCTGATGCCACCATGAAGGATGGCCATGATGAGAGGAGTCTGGGCAACGACGGCGTGGAATTTATTCTGATAGGGTCCTCCCTCGCCTCGGATTGTTACTGGTTTCGCATGTTGTTAGCGCGCAACCGTCATCTCCGTCCCGCGTTCCTGCCTGCCTGACTGGTTTCGTATGCAGTTTTAGTACCTGCCTGACTGCTTCCTGCTTCTGTGGGACGGACTTCGGCGGACTAGCTGCTTTTTTTTTTTTTTTTTTTTCCGAAAGAGATCGTTTTTTACTCACAATTGATAACACTATGCCTGACGTGGCGACTAACGGTCAGGCCACAAGGCGGCGCGGGTCCCTCAAAGCCCTCTTTAATAAATATGCTGTCGACTGGGGTGTGCTGCTGCTCATAGTCGCTGGAGCTATTGCCGTCAATTTTATTGAGCCGTTTCCAAGATTCGTGGATTCCGAGGACATGGAAGGGTTGATGTACCCGTTACTGGATAACACCGTCCCATCATGGGCTGTCCCGGTAAGATTGCGTACCTTGATCAGTTCCACTCAGATTTTTAAATTCGTCGACGGTGTGAGAATAGCTATATTGGCGAGTTATGTCTAGATTCTGCATCCGGATTTTCGCTCAATTTATTTTTTTGGGTTCTAGCTTATGCTTTAATATTGAAAGCAGCAGTAGCAATGTGTGTATAACGGCTCTTCGTCCGCTCAAATTCACGGTTTTACCACGTTCTCACCTTCCTGTAACCCTGTATCCACCAGGCGGTGACTCACCGCTCGACTTAAAGCCACTTGAGCTCGCTGCCTGCCATGTACACTCACCTCCCTGTGACCCTGTAACCCTATAATCCTGTAACCATCCAGCTGATCGCTCTGGCTCCCGCTGCCATCGCGTTTCTCGTTCACTACGCCATCCGCAAGGACATTGTGGACATCCACCACTCCGTGCTAGGTGCGTTGCACTGCTTGTCGTCTTGTGTCTGGATTTTCTAGCCACGCCACTCCTCACTCTGGGTCCTGCTGCCATTGCGTTCCTCGTTCGCTACGCCATCCGCAAGGACATTGTGGACATCCACCACTCCGTGCTAGGTGTGTTGCACTGAGACTGAGACTTGTCATTTCTTGAGTTGACTTGCAAGCCAATCCGCAAGGACATTGTGGAGGACATCCACCACTCCGTGCTAGGTGCGTTGCCCTGAGCCACACTCCTCCATGCTAGGTGGATTGACTTTCGAGCCGACTATAATTCACCTTGCTCCTGCTGCTATCGCTTTCCTCGTTCACTACTCCGTCCGGAAGGGCCTCGTGGATTTTCACCACTCTCTTCTAGGTGCGTTGCACTGACTGACAGGGCTTGTCGTCGTGTGAGCAGACCTCAGAGTCACTTCCTTGACGTCCACCACACAACACAAGCACCATTGCTTTTGAGAATTCTCTTTTGAGTCGCTTTTGAGAATTCTCAAAAGCGACTCAGAGTCACTTCCTTGACGTCCACCACACAACACAAGCACCATTGACTGACAGATTTGACTCTTGAGATTTTCATAAGTCCTTTCCTCTTTCTGCCCTCCTTTCCCTCTTTCACTCTTCAGGACTGATCTTTGCCTTCTTCTCCGCCATTCTCGTCGCCGAGTCTCTCAAAGTCGCTGTTGAGAGAATTCTCACAAGTCCCTTCCATCCTTCCTCCCCCTCGCCCTCTCACATCCGTTTCTCGCATCTCCCCTCCTCTCCTCCCATCTTTGCCCCCCAGGCCTGCTCTTCGCCTTCTTCTCCACCATTCTCATCACCGATGCTCTCAAGGTCTCGGTTGGCCGCCCCCGCCCTGACTTCTTCATCAGATGCTTCCCCTCAGGAGTCCCTGTGAGTCAAGCTGTTTCCCTCCCCGGATTCCTCTTCTTGCTTTACATCTCTCCTCCCGCCTCAAAAGCCGCCCCCGCCCCGACTTCTTCATCAGATGCTTCCCCTCAGGGGTCCCTGTGAGTCAGACGATCCCCTATCCCCTATCCCCTCCCTCCTCAAAAGCTGCCCCTGACCGGACTTGTTCATCAGATTCCCCTCAGGGGTCCCTGTGAGTCACATGATCCCCTTCCCCCATTCTTGTTCTTCCTTCGCTTCTCCCCTTCCGCCTCAAACGCCGGCAGCTTCCGACCAGACTTCTTCATCAGATTCCCCTCAGGGGTCCCTGTGAGTCACATGATCCCCTTCCCCCGTTCTTGTTCTTCCTTCGCTTCTCCCCTCCCGCCTCAAACGCCGGCAGCTTCCGACCAGACTTCTTCATCAGATGCTTCCCCTCAGGGGTCCCTGTGAGTCAAGCGGTTTCCTGTGAGTCCCCATATTCCTCTCACCTTCCTGTACGTCTCCGTTCCCGCCCCTATGTGGCCCACCCCTCCCAGACTTCTTCATCGAATGCTTTCCTTTGGGAGTCCCTGTGAGTCAAGAGGGATCTCTCCCAATACTCCTCGCCTCCCTGTGCCCCCTATCCCGCCCCCTCCCTGTGAGTCAAGAGGGGTCTCTCCCAATACTCCTCGTCTCCCTGTGCGTCTCCGTTCCCGCCCCTATGCCGATTCCTCCCTGAGAGTCAAGAGGGTTCTCTTCTCTCCCCAGAACTCTTCGTCCTGAACTTTTTCCCCCCTCGCTTCCCTCCTCGCCCTTTTCTCCCTTCCTCTCCAGGTGTACAGCAGCAGTGGCAACGCGTTGTGTAACGGCATCCCATCCGTTGTGAGTGAAGGAAGAAAGAGCTTCCCAAGCGGACATGCATCGGGTATGTCCTTTTTTTTTTTTTTGGCTTGTTTGATCGGGTATGTCCCTCATAGCCCATGCTGCCCTTCCAGTGGGAGGGACCCACGATTTTGCACTTCAAAGAGCGACTTTTTAGCATTCCCAAAAATCGCTCACAAGGACATGCATCGGGTATGTCCCTCACAGCCCGTGCTGCCTTTCTGTTGGGAGGCGTAGAAAGTGGATTTGTGAGTCGTCTAAAAAATTCTACACGTAGAAAGAGCTTCCCGAGCGGACATGCATCGGGTATGTCCCTCATAGCCCTTGCTGTCCTTCCGTTGGAGGGGACCCACGAGTTGGCACTTTGAAGAAAAGAAAGTTTCTCACTTAACCAGGCCTTGTCTCCCACCTGAACCCCATGGGGTTTGTTTCGTTGTCCTAAAGCGCACATACACACAGAGTTTAGGGAAGTCAGGCCTTTCCAGCTGCACTTTGAGACATTTCGAGATCTGTTCATTCATTCCACCCTCATCCCGTCCCGTCTTCATCTCTTCTTGCCCTATCTCCCTCTTCTCCCCCTCCCCCCTCATTGCACATGCAGTGTCCTTTTCAGGCTTGGCCTATCTCTCCTTCTTTCTAGCAGCCAAGCTCCACTCCCTCTCCTCCTCCGCCACTCACCTCTGGCGTTTGCTGCCCCCTGCGCTGCCGCTCGTGGGAGGAGTGGCCGTCGGAATCACACGCATCGATGACTACTGGCACTTCCCATTTGACGTGTTTGTGGGCAGCCTCATCGGTGCGTGGCTGGACATGCGTTTCCTTCTCTTTCTTTTTGTGGCATCTCAAAGCTGATCTGCTGCTGCCTCCTGCGCTGCCGCTGGTGGGTGGAGTGGCTGTCGGAATCACACGAATCGATGACTACTGGCACTTCCCCTTTCACCTCCTGTAGTATTTCCTGCCTTGTGTGTCCTCCCCACTTCTCAACGCAGTCTCGTTCTTCATCTCCTCACCTGTCTCCTTCCTTGGCACTTTTTTTATGCAGGCATCTCTTTTGCTGCGATCTGCTACTTCATGCACTACCCATCTCTGCGCCATGACTACTGTACGTTACATTGGCACCACACCTCGTGAGATGCATAGGTTCATCTTGAGACGTCTCAAAACCAATCTCCTTTGCTGCTGTGTGCTACTTCATCCACTGCCCATCTCTGCACCATGGCTACTGTACATCACGTTGTTGTCACCCCATGCTCCAACCAATGCTTGTTTGAGTCCAACCATGCTCCTCCCTCCTGCTTCTCTGTAAAATTTCTCTGTCCTCACTCGACAAGTCCTGTGGTGGCCATTTGGCTATAGTCTGCCTGAAGAGTGTCTTTTCAGTTCCGTGCACGATTGATTCCCGCATGTCTGCTGCTGCTGTTGACGTTTCGGGGCGTGGCGTGATACCCCTTTCCCTGATTTATTTTGTAATCAACAGGTCATCTCCCTCGCGATGTGGTTAGGTCTGAGGTTTCTAGGAGAGCTGTTTTGGACGACAATGTTGACTCGTCGCTTGATGTGCCCACCAATGGTGATGGGTCGTCTCAGGTCTGATGGCAATCGCATCATGAGATGAAGTTTCATGCAGTTTGTGTGTACGGCTTTGTTCTTTCGAAGAGAGATTCCGTCTGTGACAGCTGTTCAGTGAACACACAGGATTGCGTGAAGTTCAAGTGTTTGCTACCGGTAGTTCCACTTTGGTTTGGACCAACCAAGGCACTCTTTATAACAAGGCAGTTCTGCTTCCAACGAAGTGCATTTCTGCCTCTACCTACTCAAAGCTCTTTGGCAGCAGGCTACCCTGCTGAGCCGAGCTGTATCTACTCCCAAGATAACACCATTCTCTTCCATGCGTCAGTCAGTGGGCAAATCCGAGGTTATTTGCCTGCATGAACGCATAGCATGCCCATTCTGCCAAAAAAGCTTAGGAACAACTTCTGCCACTTGTGTTTTACAAGAGGAAGTTTTCCATGCCAACCTGGGTGCTGCAGGTTTCACACGTTTCACCTCCCCTGCCCTTCTTTGCTGCAGGGGCTAGCATGGCAGGTGACGAATGGAAACGTGGGTGACGAAGGGAAACGCGGGTTACAAAGGGAATCGCATGACGAGGGAAAGCATTCCATCTCGGGCGGGCGCGAGTGACGAGGGGGAGAGGTCGGAGAGGTCCGTCAAACAAGAATCAAGAATCTTGAACTTGAAAATAACCATGCTGTACCTGGGCTTTAAAAAGGTGATAATGTTTATTGAAAATGCATGTTCTGCCGCAGCGGTAAGATGTGGGAAGTATAAGAGATGAACTAATGAGTAGAACGAGAGTCGCAATGCAGACGTTTTGGTTCTCAGACTGCTTTGCTCCGACCTAAGTCCCAAATCCCATTACCCTCCATCGCTAGTGATACACCTCTGCCTCCACCCCCGCCAAAGTGCGTGTTACACACATGGCGACAACAGTCAATACTCAACAGAAAGCATCTTGGTTGAAGCACATCTGCATCTGCATCTCCCCCCCCGCTCCCCCCCCCCCCACCCTCCCCCGCCCCAGTCTGCCTTGCAGACGCCGTCACCGACGTCCGTCCTGGGATTTGGCCGCCTCACATTTCTGTGACCACGTCAGTTCCCTCAGATGCTGCGGGGACAACCTTGGTGCCTTTCCTCGCCCGCGACCCCCCTCTGACGTACGGTCTCCTGCGCCCCACGGGTTTCGTCAGATATAGCAGGCGCTCGCGCTGGAGTTTTTCGAATTCGTCCGATTGAAACCAGTAACATATGGTGTCCAGGGTTTCCTTCACGACCAGCTCGACGACGTTCTTGCCATGGTCTTCTTGGAGTCCGCTACACGAGGCAAGAGCCTTGTCTTTCAGCTGGCGAACGATGCACGATGCATCCTCACTCGCGATCAAGGCGCTGGCATCTTCACGCTGCCGTTCTTTGTTAAATTTGACAACAGCTTGCACCGCAGTATAGGCCACGGCACTCAACACATCAGCCGTAGTAGTGTCCGCACCCACCATCGTTGCCGCATGTTTGGCCTCGTCGGTCTGGCTCGTTGGATTCAATTTGTCAGGATCCAGAAACGCGCTGACCGCCGCAAAGCCGCACGCGATTGCCGCACCGTATGACGGCCCGCCCCCTTCCGCAACAATCACTGCCTGTGTCCCCACCATTGCGCCAAGCACCGCGTGGATGGACGCCGAGGGGTGCCGGAGCCGGTGCAGTCGGTACCACCCGAACATGTGCTTCCACCTGCACGCACAGGGATGGGATTGTCACGCGGGAGGTTTGTCGCATTCGGCCTTGAAGCGTGTATAGCAAGTGGACTGGCTACCTGATACCCACCGAGACTCCCCGTCAACCCGCAGCTCACCATTCAGCGGACGAGGCGAGACCGCGTTCGACCATGGCGCTCCACATGCCCGGAGGGATCAGCTTGGCGATATCCAGATCCGCTTGCCACTCCGTCATCTTTCCAGCTTCGATCTCCATCCTCGCAACTGTCTTGTAGAAGGCCATGTGCGCCACGGCGGTGATGTACTGCGCTTCCGCTACGTTCCTCACCCGCGCGATCTAGAACCGCTTCTTGCCCAGCCACGGTTCCGCTATAAAGTAGCCGTTCTTCTTCTTGCATGCCCGTACCCCACCGCTATTAGAACACACTTTCTCCTGCACTGCTGTACTCCCCTCGGAGGCCTCTAGCTTTCGTTTCCGTCCACGTGGGATTCCAGAGGGCGACGTCCCCCCCCCCGAGCGGCCTCGTTCGTGCGGGCACGACGTGCTCTGGGCCGCTCGCTCGCCTCCTCTCCCTCGACCCTTGGAGTCGCTGTGCCCCTAGGCTTCGCTTTTCGCCCCCCCCCTCGCACACAGCTGGCAGGTTTTCCCTTGGCAGCGGCTGTACGACACGACCTCCAAGTCCTCCCTTTCAGTGGCGCCTCATCGACCGGGGCGGCCTTTCTGGGTCCACCCCGCCGGCCGTGGCCCAGCACGGCCGCCACGGAGCCCTCCATAACAGCCGGCGAGTTCGTTTGCAGCTGGGCCGCCTGGGGGACCTCCACCACGTCATCCGAGTCCTCACCTGCCCGCCTCCCCACCCCCTTCCCTGCCCTGCACTCCTCCTCCTCCTCCACCCCCTTCTCCTTCACTTCCTCATTCACATCATCCTTCGCTTCATTCTCTTCCTCCTTCACCCCAACCCGCTGGCCGTGGCCCAGCACGGCCGCCTTGGGGCCCTCCATGACAGCCGGCGAGTCCGCCTGCAGCTGGGCCGCCACCTCCACCACGTCCTCCGAGTCCTCACCTGCCTTCCCGGCCTTGCACTCTTTCTTCCTCGCCCCCTTCTCCTCCACTCCCTCCCTCACTTCACCCCCCTCCCCCTTCACTTCCTCCTTCACCTCCTCCTCCCCCCCCTCATCGGTCCTCTTCCTCTTCCTTTGCACCCAGACCCCCCGGCTCTGCGGCACGCGCCAACCCTTCCGATCATTCGCACGCCACGTCTTTTTCTCCTTCTTCTTCCCCACCTTCGGCGCTACCTTCTCCCCCGCCCCCTCGATCGGCTGCGCTACCCCCCCACCCCCTCGCCTCGCCTTCACCCGCGGCTTATCCCGTGCCTCCGCCTTCTCCGTCTATTGCGGCGCCTCCCCCCCCGTTGGCCTGTTCGTCGGCTCCTCCACCGGCTCGCTCTCGCGCTCGATGCTCCTCCCTTTCTGTGGAGGCACAGGGCGTGATGCACGTCGCCTCTCTCCGTCGCATTCTCTCTCGTTCAAGCGACGGATCGCCGCATCCCCTTGTCGAAGTGTCGGGGCGGAATTCTTGATCAAAGAATGAACCCACTCTTTGTCTTCAGGCGACAATTTAGTGTCCCCCACCCGCTGGCGGTCCAGCTGCTGCCAGCATGCCTTGTGGTATTCGATGAGAAGGAGGCGATCCCGCTCTCTACCTCTAGGCTACGTTTCACTCCCCAGTTCCCAAACACCTTCCGCACCCCCCTTGGGGATCAGTGCAAGGGCATGGGCATCCCGGATCGAGCCCGGACAAGGAGGGCCTAGGGTTCGCGCATCCACGTCTCGAGGCTGTGGTGTATCATCCACCCGCCACGGATCCCCCCCCCTCTCTTCCGGATTCCGCGTCTCCCTCCCCAGCAGCAGTCCCTCCTCTCCTCCCCCCTCCGCTGTCAACATCGGTGGCTCCTCTTTCTCTGTCTCCACCTGCTTATTCTCACCGCCCTCCTTCGGCACTACCTCCCTACCCCCCCCTTCAGTCGCCTGCCCTTCCGAAGCTTCTTCCCCCCACAGAAACGGCCCACTCCACCGTGCGCCCTCATCCATCACTCCATCCTTCTCTCCGTTCCCCTCCTCCTCCTCCTCCTCCTCCTCCTCCTCCTCCTCCTCCTCCTCCTCCTCCTCCTCCTCCTCCTCCTCCCCCCCCTCGCCCCCCACCTCCCGCTCTCCCCCCCCCTCCTCCCGCGTCTCCCTCCCCAGCAGCAGCCCTCCCCCCCCCCCCCCCTCCGCTGTCAAGGTCGATGCCTCCTGCTCCCCTTGCCCCTCATTCCCTGTCTTAACCTGCCTTTGATCATCTCCCTCCTTCGGCGCTACCTCCCCCCCCCCCCCCCCCCCCTTTGGTCGGCTGCCCTTCCGAAGCTCTCCCCCCCCACAGAAACGTCCCGCTCCGCCGTCTGCCCCCATTCATCACTCCATCCTTCTCCCCGTCCACCACCTCCTGCTCCTCCGGCTCCTCCGGCCCCTCCCGCTCCTCCGGCTCCTCCCCCTCCTCCTCTTGCTCCTCCCCCCCCTGCTTCTCCTCCACCGCACCCCCGTCCCCTTCCGCGCCATCGCAACCCCCATCCACTCCCGCTTCCTCTTCGACGCATGCGAGAAGGTAAGACATGCCAGCCATATCTAGTTTCAAGCGTAACGCCTCACCTTTCGGCTGGGTAAGGATCCTCTGGAACCGTGTCAGGATACCGTGAACGGCAAGGGCGCACAACACGTCATTATCGGCTTCAATGGGCGGCCCCTCGATTTCCTGGCGCGCGTTATCAAGGAAAGTTGGTTAGTCGTTGCACACTTACCACGCAGAAGAGAGTTGCAGTGGGTTGGAATGAGGCCGCTGGACCGGACACTCACCGCGCTCTTGAATGTGACGGTTGCCATGCGCAGGGCGGCGATAGTGGGCAACGCGACGCCGTGGTTGCGCGCACGCCACTCCACTTCGATCCACATGGACACAACGCTGAAGAGCACGCAGCACGAGTGAGGAAGGTCAGCTCAGTGCCTTTGCGCTGCACGCAATGATCAACGCGCACGGCTCACTGCTTACTTCCATACGAGGGTCTCACTGCCCTCCTTCGCGGTGTCGCCAGGTTCCGCAAAGAGTGCTCGGGCGTTCATCACCGCCACGATGCTGCTGTGGGCCGGCACCTCGGGACAGTGCAAGCTGGGTGGGAAGAGAGAAGGTTGGCAACGGGTTTATGGTGCGTGAGTCGTTGTGGAAGGAAGTGCATCTGTCCGTGTGTGCGGTGGTGTCCACAACAGCAGCGGCAGGGGACTTACTGGGGGAGAAGCATGATGATGAGATCGTCATTGAGGAGGCCGGGTGGATACGTTCTGTCTTCTGCTCTGCGGTCCATGATGTCTAGTTTCCGACTCACTTCGGCCGCTCCCATGATAAGCCTGGTACGCTTCGGGCTCCCCTGCTTCGCAGCCGCCCTCTCCATGACAAGCCTGCCGGCGCAGGTATGAAGCATGGTTAGGCACACGAGGTCAGGCACCGCGTGAAACGGGCGAGCTGACGTGACCACTCGGCAGTGGACGGGGCGTACTCACCTGACGCCAGAGCGACACTAGGTCCGCTCGGCAGACGAGGGTGGACGTGACCACTCACCTGACGAGGGTTTCCGTCAGGTCTGCCGCCAAAGTGACGCTAGGTCCGCTCGCAGGCTCGATGGCGACCCCGACACTCGGCCCACGCTCGGGACAATTCAGCACCGCCTTGCCGGATGTCGCGCGGGCATCCGCATCCTCCTGGAGCCATCGGTGCAGAGTTTGGACGTCTAGGGTCAGAGCCGCAACACTCGTGGCCTCCCCCGGGCCTGGAGTATTCCCACTCGCCTCGGCTTGGACCCGCTCCTGGATGAGGCGCCACAGCTCGAGCGCGCACTTGGCGCCCGCGCACACCTCCCCCTCCCCCTCCGTCGTGCTCGGACTCTGCCACGCACGAAAGACGCGGCGTCAGCGGAAGGCATCGACTTGCCCTAGCGTAGGCCAGAGCGGGCGAGCGGCGACGCTGTGCTCACCGCGTGCTCGTGCTCGAGTCGTAGCTGCACCAGGCGCTCGCCCACACGCGCCGTTGCCTCCCCTCCTTCGACCCGCCTGGCCCTCCGTTCGTCTACTTCCATCAATGTCCACTCTTCGAACCACCTGCAACCGGGGCAAAGCATGTTTGGTTTGTGCCGCGGTGACTGCTCGCTGTGAGGGGGGCTAAGTGCGCGAAAGCATGCAGACGCATTTGGAGGGCCCCTGCACGTGCCCCCCAACCGCCACCCCGCAGAGATGCGCGGAACGTACCGGCAGGCTGCCTCCGCCTGGGCAGCGTGGAGGCCGGGCTCCGGCAAGGGATCGAAGTGGACCAGCCGCGTGTTGACGGCCCGTCGAGGCAACGGCGCCGCGGCCAGCACAATATGTCCTGCTCGAAGAGATCCGCCAGTCCTTTCCATCCCGACGGTACAGATGTATGGAGCTCTCGGATTAACGTGCCGTTCAAGATCGCTACGCGTATACCGTGGTGAAGCAGCGCCTGCTTCGCGATGTACCTGCGAGCGCCGTGAGGGAGGGGCATCGAGGGGTGTGAGCGAGGCGGGTACGGAGCATGCGACATGGGCCGCAGCGTGGTAGTGGGTGTGGTGCCTGGGAGCATCACGTGAGGGCATGCTGGAAGCAATTCACGGTGAGAGCCTTATCCGCGTCGTGTTTCAAGACGTCTCAGAGCATAATAAGAGGGCGTGCTGGAAGCACTTGGGGTGATAACAGTAGTCTTTAGAGACGTCTCAGAGCCTCACAAGAGGGCATGCTGGAAGCACTTGGGGTGATAACAGTAGTGCTAAGAGTCGTCTCAGAGCCTCACATGAGGGCGTGCTGGAAGCAGTTAACGGTGAAAGATCTCTTGTTGCCGAGCACCTCTCGGTCGGCCTTAGTAAGCGGGCCGTTCGTCGATCCCCCTTCGACGTAAACGTCCTTCCAGCCGGCACTCCGCTGTTCATTTCCAGACATCGCGACGCCTTGTAAATCTGTGCTCCCGGCCCGTCGCGTCACTTCGTCGGCACAAAGGCAGGCTCCTGCGAGGGAGCTCCAATCACACGGATGGCGGTGTTATCGTGAAGAAACGAAGCGCGCATTAGTTATCAGTATGTTATCGCACGGGCCGCCCTAGCTGGAGTTAGGTTGGTGGGTAAATGATGACCCGCCAAAATTCTCAGAGTGTTATTAAAGCCCAAGACCTGAATTACAAAAAAAAGGTAGGCAAACTGTGCGCAGTTGGTCTACCGAACCCACAGTTGACCTCCCGAGCCAGGCTGGTTACCAGAAAACATTGCGCGAAGAAACACGGAGTCGTAGAGCAGAACGGGTTTGGTTGGCGAGAGTCCCAACCACACCCTCCTGAAGGAACAAGGGCTCAAAATGTGCACAGTTTGCCTTCTTCGGTAATTCAGGTCGTGTGATTTCCATAGTACGCGGAGCATGCGAAGAGATAGAATAAAACGCCACTAAAGCATAGGCCATGAGCATTTTCACCTTTATTCCTAGCCCTTTCCCAAACATCGCATTTGGACCTATCGCCTTCCGCGTCCCCCACGCTTCTCCCCACCGTCTCTCACACACCTCCCCACGCACACGCCCACTCTTCCCACCGTCGCCCAAGCTTTCCCCCACCGTCGCTCACGCTTCCCCTTACCGCCGCTCACGCTTCCTCCTGCCTTCCCCCACACCGTCGCTCACGCCTTTCCCCACCTTCCCTCACGTTTCCCCTCTCATCGCCCACGATTCCTCCCGCCGTTGCCCACGCTTCGGAGCACCGTCACCCACGCTTTCCCCACCGTCGCCCACGCTTCCCCCCACCGTCGCCCATGCTTCCCCCCACCGTCGCCCACGCTTCCCCCCACCGTCGCCCACGCTTCCCCCCACCGTCGCCACGCTTCCTCCCACCGTTGCCCACGCTTCCCCCCACCGTCGCCCACGCTTCCCCCCACCGTCGCCCACGCTTCCCCCCACCGTCGCCCACGCTTCCCCCCACCGTCGCCCACGCTTCTCCCCACCGTCACCCACGCCAGCGTCGCCCACCGCCACTACGCTTGCCCTCCCATCGTCCTCGCTTAGCCTTCCCGCCGACCTCCCTTCTCTCCTCCTCTCTCCACGTCGTCATCACTCCCCTGCCCATCACGTTCCCCCTCTTCACCATCGCTTCTCTACCCATGCCGCCTACCCTCTCATCCCGTCCCATCGCGTGGGGTGTGGGAGGGTGCCGCGTGGCCAGCAGCACCCTTCAGTCGCATACACGTTCATTTCCCCTTCCCTCATCTCCCCATTCCTCATCTCCCCTTCCCTCATCTCCCCATCCCTCATCTCCTCATCCCTCACCTCCCCATCCCTCTCCTCCCCAGCCCTCTCCTCCCCATCACACACCTCCCCATCCCTCATCTCCTCATCCCTCATCTCCCCATCCCTCATCTCCCCAATCCGCCTCACCCCATTCCTCCCCACCCCATTCCGCCCCACCCCTTTCTGCCCCACTCTATTCCACCCCACCCCTTTCTGCCCCACCCCATTCCGCCCCACCCCTTTCTGCCCCACCCCATTCCGCCATGCCATCCTACTTCTCATCCCCTTTTCCTCGTTTCCCCATCCCTCCTTTCCCGATCCCATCATTCCTTCTGCCAACTTTCACAATTCCACCATACGGTCATACCCCATCCCGCGACCTCCCCGTCACCTCCACCCCGTCCCCTCTCCTCCGTGCTTCTTCCCATCTTCCGCCTCGCCAAAAGGTTCGTTCTTCACCACCTCCGCTATCCATCCCTTTCTATACCCATCCCCTCTTCCCCGTCCATCCTATCCCCAACTCCTCCCCCTATCCCTCCTCTCGCGATCCCTCCTCTACCAAACCCATCGTTTTCTCATTCCCTCCTCTCCCCACCCCGTTCCTCCATGTCTCCCATCTGCCGTACCTCACCTCCATCTGTTCCTCCCATCCTCCATCCTCGTTACCTCCCTGCCACCCTCTTTCCTCCCCACCCTCCTCTCCAGCCTCTCTTCCTCCCTCCCTTCTGCTTCTCCCCCAAGCGTCCTCCCTACCTCCCTTCCTCCCATCATCACTTCCTCCCTTCCTTCATTCCTGCATTCCTCACTTTGTCCCTTCCTCCGTTCCTCCCTTCCTCATTTGCCAGTTGTCATTCTTTTGCATGCTTGCCTCCCTTATACTTCAGCCACGTCAAATCTGACTTCTTGGTTTGTGTTTGGACAGGTCAGCACTGCATCTGGTTGTGCATGTGCTGGCTGTCTGATAGTAACACGATGAATAGCCATGCCATGTATTGGATATTTTTTTATAATACAGGATTATGAGCCTCAGAGCAGTCATACACATGACCAATACAAAGGAGCTCAACAATAAATATATTACCGTATCTGTAAAGTAAGGGGAGTCACCAGACTCGAGAAGGGAACAAAGCTAGGGGGTGTATGTGTAATGTTGCTTCCCGGTTTTGTCTGCTACACTGCAAGCAACAAACCAGGCCGTGGTAAAGCCACATCTGGTGCTGGGCACCTGTAACTGCATTGGGGGGTATGGGGGTGAGTGAAGGGGGAAAGACAGTAAACGGAATGAGCAGAGGGGAAGAGAAGAAGCAGCGGGGGACAGATTGAACAGAGGGGAAGAGAGGAAGCAGGGGGGAACAGAGTGAGCAGAAGTAAAGAGAGTGAGCAAGGGGGAAGAGAGTGAGCAGAGAAGAAGGGGAAGGAGCAAGGGTGAAATAGAGGGAGAAAGGGTGAGCAGGGAAGGCAATAGGGGGAAGCAGGGAAGGAGATGGGGGGAAGCAGGGAAGGGGATGGGGGGGAGCAGGGAAGGGGATGGGGGGGAGCAGGGAAGCGGATGGGGGGATGCTGGGAGGGGGATGGGGGAAGGAGGGAAGGGGACGGGGGGAAGCAGGGAAGGGGAAGGGGGAAAGCAGGGAAGGGGATGGGGGGGAGCAGGGAAGGGGTTGGGGGGAAGCAGGGAAGGGGATGGGCAGAGGCAAGGGAGGGGACGGGGGGAAGCAGGGAAGGGGATGGGGGGAGCAAGTTGGAGGATGGGGGGAAGCAGCACAGGGGATACGAGGAAACAGGGAAGAAGGGAAGGGTGTATGTGCGGGTTGGAAAGGGGGCGTGACAAGTGTGCGAGATGGGAAGGGAGAAGGGAGGGATGGCGAGGGCAACGAGGAGTGGAAGGGAGGGCGACGGGGAAAACGAGGGCGACGGGGGGAGAGAGAGACAGGGATTGCGAGGGGACGAGCGCGTGACGAAGGGGGGCAACAGGCGGAAGGGAGGGAAAGAGAGCGTCAAGGGGGAAAGAGAGTGAGCAAGGGGAAAGAGAGTGAGCAGGGGGGGAAGAGAGTGAGCAGGGGGGGAGAGAGTGAGTATAGGAGTGAGTAGGGAAAACAGGGGCGAGCAGAGGGGGTAGGAGAGCGTGAAGGGGGAAAATGGGTGAGAAATGGGGAAAGTGGGGTTAGAATAAGGGGAGTGAGCAGAGGGAAAGAGAATGAGGAGGGGGGAAGCGAGTGAGCAGGGGGGAAGAGAGTGAGCAGGGGGAAAGAGATTGAGGAGGGGGGAAGCGAGTGAGCAGGGGGGAAGAGATTGAGCAGGGGGAAAGAGATTGAGGAGGGGGGAAGCGAGTGAGCAGCGGGGAAGAGAGTGAGCAGGGGAGTGAGTAGGAGAGTGTGAAAGGCAATGGGAGGGGAAGTGAAGGTGACGGGTGGGGAAGCGAGTGTGACGGGGGGGAAGCGAGTGCGGCAGGCGTGGAAGGCGACGGGAGGGGGAATCGAAGGCATTGGGGGGGAGAAGTGAAGGCGACGGGAGGGGGAAGTGAAGGCGTCGGGAGGGGGAAATGAAGGCGACGGGAGGGGGAAATGAAGGCGACGGGAGGGGAAGTGAAGGCGACGAGAGAGGGAAGTGAAGGTGACGGGAGGGGGAAATGAAGGCGACGGGAGGGGGAAATGAAGGAAATGAAGGCGACGGGAGGGGGAAGTGAAGGCGACGAGAGGGGGAATTGAAGGCGACGGGAGGGGGACATGAAGGCAACGGAAGAGGGGGGGGAGGGGGGGGAGTGAAGGCGACGGGGGGGAAGTGAAGGCGACGGGCGAAGCGAAGGCGACAGGCACGCGACGAGCTGCGGAAGCGATGGCGACGACGCGGGCAAAAGAGAGCGGAAGCGTGGGAAAGGAAAGCGAGGGCGAGGGGAGGGTCACATTTGGGCGAACGGTTGCAATTCGATTTTCGCCACGAGTTTACGCTACGGAGTAGCTGCACAATAACCTGCATTTCGACACAATAATATTCACCTAGCGAGAACTAGCTCTCCGCGTCATCATTGAAATCCGCGCCACCCAAATCGTATGGCGCCTCTGATCCCTTTTGAGTGAACGCCGACGCCCTACCCTGTCTCCAGGTATGGTCTATGCCTAATACTCTGCGTGCTATCTCAAACTGTGCACAGTTTGATATGCTCGCGCTTTTCTGGTTGTGGGAAGGACACCAACCATCATGGGAAGCGAGAAACTTTTGTCGCAAATTGGTTTCACGAGTGAAAGTCTCTCGCAACCCAACCGGACCTCTCCCTGCCTGCCTCCCGAACCTAGTTTTTAGCGTTGAATTCCGTTGAGTAATTCAGGTCTTCGGCTTAAAGCCGAAGACCTGAATTACTCTTCGCAAGTCAACGCAACATTTGCAGGTTCGGAAACCATTGACTTGGAGGTTTGGGAGGGTTGGGAGACCAAGTGTTCGCGAAACCAACATGTGACAATCGTAATATCGCGAGGATGGCAATGCAGGGACTTGGCAGCACCAATACAGGGCCCGCAAGGACAATTCGACTTACCAGAAAGGAGCAGAAGAAGCAAACTGTGCACAGTTTGATAAGGCACAACTAGTAACTGAACTAACATAGGTTTTTAGGTGAACGCACGTGTTGACACCGTCCCGTTTTGCGCGCGCTCTAGTAACGAACATTACCCTTGTGCGACATTCGGGCACACGCGCCCTTCTCGCAAAGGCGCCTTTTGCGAGCAGACGTCCTTCCCGCACGCAAGCAGCTGTCGCAAGCAGTCGCCTTTCTCGCACAGGCTTCCTTCGCACGAGACCACACTTCCCGCACAGCCGCCCTTCGCACGAGACCGCCCTTCCCACACAGCCGCGCTGTGGCGTGCAATCGTCCTTGGCGCACGGCAACTATTCGCCACGAGGCTGGTCACTTGGTTCAGCACCCGAGGCTGACACCGAGCCAGTTTCTTACGAGCTTTTACACCGGCACTGCTGATTGATTGTGTCCAAGGGTACAAACGCAGCTCACCATATCGCAGTGTATCTTGATGGGTTTAGGTCGGTGGAAGACTGAATATCGCTACCCAACCACAGCTGTCCTAATCACCTGCAAAACATCCGATTTGTTCAATCCTTGTACTTTACTGGCCCCTCACCACCACTCTTGTGAGAGTACGACGGCTTATGCCAGCTATGCTTGCTTGTCTTTACTTTATTATGCTATTTCTAGCTTAGGTTTATATTATGCATGCATGAATCGCTTGATTTCCTAGGCTAGGTGCTGTACTATATTTTATTATAGTTATAGCACTGAGCTAGGTTACGTACACCGAATTCTAGGCTATTCGGTAGCCACCAAAATGCCTTCTACCGAATTCGGGAAGGGTCTGTTCGGGGCGCTTCGCGACCCTCGGAACCTTCGCGTACCAGGTGGTTACGGGGCCTTGTGCCGTGCCTATAAATAGCCTCGTGTTGTACCCAGGTAATTCATTCAATTCAAATCATCTTTTATGAGCTCGATCCTAGATCCTCACACTTGGTATCAGAGCCTGTTTACATGCGAGTTTTTCGACCGCTAAAACCTAGCCTTTGAAACCGCGGGGGCGACGACGGGAAGTGCCGATTTCGGGTACGTAAACCAGTTCTGCGCTATTCTTTAACGTCCCCCTCGAACCGGTTTTCGAATCCTCCTCAGGTTCAGTGGCGAACATCAACGACCCTCAGAATTTCGCCAAAAAACGTTGGAATTTGGGACGTCGGATCGAATTTCAGCTGAACAGCCGAGACCTGACGCGAATTTCGGCTAAGCGAGAATCACGCGACTAGCCGAAACAGCGCTCAACATTTCTACAGTCGATTCGATTCGCAGTAAGTCGACTAGCGCCTAGATTTCAACTATTTCTGTCGCAAACCTTCCTGTAAATCGCCAAATGGAGGAAAATGTAAAATTATAATGTTGTCTAGGCTTTAGTGGGGTAGCCCATATGGGGTACACATTTCTAGGGTTGCATATTTGTATCACTTTCATTCCATAGTCATCTCATTCTCGTTCTAATTTCCTCATGGTATCGAGCAGGTTCCCCCGTGGGAACTGTGCCTAGGGCCCACCACATCGAGTTTTTTTTCCCTGCCCTAAGCGCGCTCAGCCCGAGTCGCGCTCCGGGCTCTCACTTCGTCGAGCCGCCCTAGCCGCCCTAGCCCTCTAGCGGCCCCGCAGCCCGTCGAGTCGGCCCCGCCGCCCTTCGCTGCGGCCCCGCCGCCCTTCGCTGCGGCTCCGCCGCCCTTCGCTGCGGCCCCGCAGCCCTTCACTGCGGCCCCGCCGCCCTTCACTGCGGCCCCGCCGCCCGTCTCAGCGGCCCCGCCGCCCTTTGCTGCGGCCCCGCCGCCTCTCTCGCTGCGGCCCCGCCGCCCTTATCAGCGGCCCCGCCGCCCTTCGCTGCGGCCCCGCCGCCCTTCGCTGCGGCCCCGCCGCCTCACAATGCGGCCCCGCCGCCTCACACTGAGGCCCCGCCGCCCGTCTCAGCGGCCCCGCCGCCCTTCGCTGCGGCCCCGCCGCCTCTCTCGCTGCGGCCCCGCCGCCCTTCTCAGCGGCCCCGCCGCCCTTCTCTGCGGCCCCGCCGCCTCTCTCAGTGCGGCCCCGCCGCCCTTCTCAACGGCCCCGCCGCCCTTCACGGCGGCCCCGCCGCCCTTCACGGCGGCCCCGCCGCCCTTCACTCCGGCCCCGCCGCCCCTCCCACTGCGGCCCCGCCACCTACCTTGCGGCCCCGCCGCCCTACCAGCGGCCCTACCGCCCTACACCGCCCGCGCCGCCCGAGCCGCCCGAGCCGCCCGAGCCGCCCGAGCCGCCTGAGCCGCTGAGGAGCCGAGCCGCCCGAGCAACCCGAGCCGCCCGACCTGCCCGAGCCGCCCGAGCCGCCTGAGCCGCTGA